AACTACACAGTAGATGTTCTTCAGTAATTAACATAGTAATGCTAGTAATTATTATGGAGAAATCAAACGGTCGATTGCATCGCAAAAGTTTATTGCTTTAAAGATTACCAACAATTTCAAGTTAAATTTAACATATTTAATTAAAGCATACAAATGTGGTACATCGAAATACATAGACCGACACATACATATGTGAATACTTATCGCCTACATTTAGATAGTTAGCTTGATTATGGAGTCAGTAGGGGGTGAGCGATTTGTATTAGCGACCTTGTTTTCCTTGGAGTACCAGACTGAATTTCCTCTGTGTTCTATAATCCTAAACTCGACTGCTATGAGGAACTTACCTACCAAAAAGCCACTGGACAGAGGCGGGTCTCTTGCGTCGTTACGGGGTTTCGTCTAAGCGGACGATCGACCAAGACATCCGTCCAGTGAATCCGACGAAAGATAATATGTACATTCGAGAATAGATAAAAAGAAAAATTGACATGAATTAGCCAGGCTCGAAGATACAGCCAATAACTTAGAAGAAATAAGGGTAAATAGAGTGATCGTCTGTGAAATGTTCACACAAAATAACACAAGGGAAGGGCTATAATGGAATGAAGTACGAAACAGAATGTCCAGTAAGCAGGATCGATAATATGACTGATTATGATGACGGTGATAGCGATACCATTTCTGTTTGAAGGCCGAGGCGAAGCCCAGGTGAGCCTAAAGAGTATTTTGAATTTTTCGTTCGGCATTGCCTTTAGGCATCGCTCTGGACTAAAAGCAATTGGCGTCTGTCAACTGGAACAGAAGTACTTTACCTTGACTTGTCAGTTCATTTTAGACTTGGTGCCTCCGTCGCCATCGCCTTTCAACAAATCCGAGATACTGATCAGCTGTTTCAGAATGTTAACGCGTTTCTAGAATTATGTAGGCGGAATAACATTTAGTGCAACTAGAATTAACAGTTGTCAACATCGAAATATTCATGCTCTCTGATATGGTACAAAATAGTGATGGTCCCTTGAGCCGCCTTCGCTATACGTGAAGCCTGTTTAGGAATTCTGGGTACTAAATAACTTGTTGGAATTGTTTTTGGTTTCTCATCGGTTAAAGTGCCGTTAGCAACACTCGTTATCGGTGAACGACACCTACATTAAGAATAATAAGCAATTTAATAGTAATTTAAGGCCTTCCTAACTTAAATTGAAGCACTAAGTGTGATTCTAGCTTCATTCCGTGATATTCATATGGTACGCATAAACACCTTTGCTTTTTCAATGGAGCGAAAGGATCGTTCATCGGAGCCACCTTCCCTGTCGGTTAGCGCAATTAGCTAAATACGATAGTCCGATTGTTTACTATTGCTGGATTTGAACGAAAAATACTTACAATGCATACCGTTTTCACTAATACATTGTCCCTGCTGTGTTCTTGCGTCGATAACGCAATGATGAAACCCTAATTAAGTTTGAAGCCCCAAGCGTTTTTATATTCGCGAGGGACACAACGTGTACTCCTTCTGAAAAGTTTCCTTGAAGTGCACCACTGCTGCTTTTCCTCCGCCGTCGCTGTTGCTGTTCTTGTTCTTTTTATCAAACTGTAGCTTAAGCACCTCATTCTGTGGAAGTCATCGAAAGGCCGACGATAACCTTCCACCGTTGCTAGCGTAAGAACGTGGCACGCAGACACACTCGCACACAGAATTCGGCACATGCACACCAAAGGGTCTGTGTGAAATTCATGTTGACAACGTTTTTCCTTATGGAGCGTTCTTTTTTTTCGGTTTATTCATCGATCTGGCGTCTGGGGGGAAATTCTGTTGCTTGATTGACAGTTGGTTCTGGACGACTGTGATGGTCGGCCATCATGGCACTGACATGCAGTCAACGACTTTCTGGCAATAGCTTATGGAAGATACAACGACCATGCATATGTACACTAACGCTGTTTGCGATTACTTTTATCTCGACAAATAATGTGTCTGGCCATTTTCCTATGTGATTCCTGAGTGGCCAATTGGTAGTGTGCACTATGTTATTATGTCAGAGTATATAGAACTGAAGTGGGTTACCGATTTGAAGAGTTAAGTATATATCTCTGTCGACAGGAAGTAGAACAAAAATCAAGACGAACAGTCAATAAGATCCCATGCACGCAGTATATAGTAAGAAAGGGGCTTACTCTTTTACAGCGATTTATATGAATAATTTAGCAGTGCTTTCTGGGACAAAGATGAACCACAGGGGACCAGTCCGAGTAAAACGGTGGCTAACTTCTCAAATCTTAAAAAAAAATGTTTTTCTACACTTGATTCAGTAATTTAATTCAACATGCGTATTGAAATGTAAATCTGTATGCACCGTCAAGCAATGCGTCGACCTAAACATTACCAGCAAAAAATTAAAAAAATGAAGTGATATATGTATGTATACTAAAAAAAAAATAGGCTTCTGTGCTAGTTCTAATTATATGATCTGTAAGGTAAACAAACGTTCGATATTAAAAGAAGTTCAAATAATTTTAAGAGAAAAATAATTTTGGCGAACCTATCAGTTTTTTAGTTGTCTTAGGATACTTTTATCCAGGATTTACCTGATTTCCCGCAACTATTTAAACCTATGCATTGCTGACGTCTAGCAAATATTATTATATATTCCACATACCCTGTATCAGACGCACGTGGAAGCTGGGAACTCAAGGTAAAGACAAAGAAAGAAAATAAGCGTTCCTTCGAATACAGCATATGAGTGCATATTAAAGCTGATATGTAAAGTTAAATAATCTAGTATGTTTTAACACCTACTCCTGACTGACTACGACGTAAAATTCGATGATTTCTAGGTAAAGGGTGACGGGCTTTCATTTTGCTCTGTCTACCTTTTGTCTTCTGTAGGCTGCGATATAACGATAAAGTTAGCCTGACTTCACGATGCAATACGTACTGCATTTGTGAAACACAAGGACCCCTCGTGATCGCGGCAGTCACCTCATATCGTCCGAAGGCGGCTTGGTTCCTGTAGTATCGTCCGCCAAGCGATCATTTGGAAAGTCAAGTAGCTGCTGTCAAAAAGTTTCCGTCGACGCACGCGGTAAACCTCCATCCCCGATCGAAGGGTAGTTATGAAATTACGAAGTTAAGGGCTTTACTGATGTGCGTCTTACGCCATGCTCTCGCTGTTATTGCGCTTCAGAATGGACCTGCCACATTTTGGTTCAGAAAGACAGCGAATCAAGACTTTGGCCTGGTGGCAATTGCCTTTCTGACCCAGTTGAGATGCCATTCTTTCGTTGCGGAGATCAGCCCGCTTTCTACCGATTGAACGGTGACGATCGCGTCAAAGGAGTGTTTCAATCTGGCTTTTCGTCGTGTCCTTCTTAGTCGACTGGGATTCTTTTCCGTCCTTTTGTGAGCAGTCAATCCCAGCACGCGTTGGTATACAGTCAAATTCAAGGCGTCCAAGTATCCGCATCGTCTTGCGATTAAGCGTGCTTTCGATATCCGAAGGTATACAAGGTGTAATTTAGTCCTATGGGGGTCCTTTGAATAGGCATAGGCTTCATTATATCATTTGTTACACTTGAGAACGACTGCCCAGTGCTTTTTGTTCGTCAGTAATAATATCACCTATAGGGATACGGAACAATCTGAGGAGGGAAAAGCACTCGAACGCTGCTGACTGACTTTAGGGAGATGTTTGCGCACAAATGATCGTCATAAGAGGCGTCAACGATTCTAAATAATTCGTGGAAAGCTTCACTTCAAACGATTCTTATGTCTTAGATTTTTCGTATCAGCGCGTAGTGAAGTTGCTGGCTATCGTATCTTTTACCGAGTGCAAAAAAAAACTCATTCTGAAAGGTCTCATCTGTTAAAATTTCTGCAGTCCATCGCAGAACCCATCTTCATGACCGCTAGACTAAATAAGCGTAACATAAGTGAAGTTCGATATTGACAAAAACGAGTAGGGTCTTCTTCGATGTATTAGGTAATACATACGTCGGAATACACCTGATTAACAGAGTAATGTGAGAGTAAATAGTCTATGGACTTAAATGTATTGCTAAGAAGAGCATTTTCTGTCTAATTAACGCTATCGTAATATCTATTTCGTTCGTCGTTCGACTACAATGTGCACTACTCTAGAATGTTCGATAAGCTAAACCTATATAAATATTATTATAGCTAATAATGCAAACAATAAACAGCTGGCACGCGGTTAGGGTATAAGAGCCCGACATACTGTTAGTCTTCGGCTAACGGTCTAGTTCTTCACGAAATATTTACGCTTCAAGACCGACCAACACGCAGTACCATGAAAGTTTTTCACGAGCTAAGAACGTAAATGGCCATTTCTTTCGCTTAGAGAAATTTATATGTGGCCCAGCTATTCATACTGAATGAAACTATCGAGCAGAAGATACTGAATTAGGAAGATAAAGGCGATCAGGCCGACAAAGTCAAGTCACACATGACAGGGCATTGGAGTCGTCCCGCAAAAGCTTACGTGGCAGGTTTCTTGAACCTGCGATCATCTCGAAACCTCGCGCAATCACTAGCGAGTAAAATTCGTGTCGGTACAATAACGAGGGCCTTAAAAATTAGCCGAAGTAATTCTTTAAGGCATAACTTAACTAAGAATGCATAAAGAGTAGCACCGAATAAATTCATTCGTTGCCGGAGCTCGAGCGGAACCCTGCGTCCATTTAGGAGGGGAAAGTTTCCGTATAAATATTTTTCGTCCTGACTACTCTGTCAATCATGACCCGTCAACTAGTTACTTTGTTTTCATGCTCTTTTTTACCTAGGTAATTTCTTCTAGGAACTATACGGCAAATAAAAAAGAACACAGGTTTTTTGAAGCACGAAAGACACTTCCCAATACCTTCATCTATTTATATATATATGTAAAAATCAACACTAATCACGAAAATGACAAAGCAATTTACTGTGCTCTTCGCTCTCCTTCTTTGTCTATTACGCTTATTCATTTTGACAATTACAGAAATAACATTTCTCGTAACGGGGCTATCGACGATACAGGAGCTGCCGCACCGCGTGGAGCTCTTGCTGGTCTCACTAGCGGCACATCTAACTCTGTAGCTGGAGCCGGATCAGGACAAGGAAGTGCAGGTACAGTAGCTGTTGGAGACCTATCTATAATTGTTCCCATACTAGCCGAAACGGCAGATGCTGGGGTACTGGCCGCTGGAAGTAGCCTGGTAAACAAGAACGACGGTGGTGTGTCCATAATCTCTAGCACTGGTTGTCTCTCACAGGCGTCAGTTGTAGCCACTCTGTCGATTCCGGGAACATCGGCGTCTGGCATTCGCGACAGGGGCACCGGACTGAGTTGTAGCAACTCTCTGTCATCGTCCGCTGGTGCTGCCGCTGCCACTGGAATCGTCGTTGTCGCAGGCCGCTCGACATCGGCGTCTGTCGCGGGGACGCTTGGCGCGACGCCTCCATCGGGAGGCCACCAATCATCCTGTGACTCATCGGCCACGGCTGCATTGTTCGTTAGCGTGAGTTCATCTAGCAGCACGGCGTCGAGCATATCTACGTTAACTCGCAGTAATGTCGCTTTAAGTCAAGAACAGGTTGTCCTGTCTTCAATATCAACTTCGCCAGCAACGGCATCGCCGTCATCCTCCGGAGTAGTTGCTAACAGCGCTGGAGGACCAAGGAGACCCCAGGAAGTTGTACGTATTGGGGGCGGTAAACAAGCCACGTCTAGTCGACACCAACGATATCAAAAGGCCGAACATCAGGTTCATCATCAACAGCTGCGACGGCAGCACCAGCAACAGCAGGAGGAACAGCAATCTGCAGCAGCGGCTGTCGTGGCCGTACAGAGGGTCGGGGTAGCGACAACATCGTCGTTAGTCACCGGAACACCGCAGGGTCCCGCTGTCCTAACAACGAAGGCAAAAGGCTCGCCAGTTGCAGTGCTGTTGGCGAGTGTAACTTCACGTAATTGGCTTTCGGAGAGCAACAGTTCGATAATGCCAGGTGGGTTTCGAACGCCAGATCTAGGCTGTAAAGCAACTGCTGTTATGGTTATTATCGCTAATAGGAATACCGGGCCAACCTGGTAAACAGTATGATAATAAAACCGATAGAAAGACACAAAAGGCGAGACCATTGCTGACTGGCCGTTTAAACGTTCCGGCGGCGACACACGCAGACGATACGCTGGCGAACAGTAAAGTCTGCAGTGTTTTAGAATTGTGGGCTAACTCGTATGTGGTCATTCAGTCTCGGTCTGTAGCGTGGAATTTTTATGATAGACTACAATATTATTCGTTTAGTGATACGATAGAAAGCAATGAGGACGGCATAAAGAACAAGCATACCTATCATAGTGGTCATAGGGAATTGTTGTATTTCGAATCAACTTGCTACGAGGCAGTCTTTTGCTTTCTGAAGATAATCATTGCGAAATGGCGCAGCCGTCTATTACAGGACGCATCGATGCATAGCCAGTTACATATTGATCGCTGAGTATGGCTTGGGTAACAATCATGATGGTTATTTCCATGCCTCTGATTATCGTAATTAAAGCAACTTTTTCTGCTAACGGACATCTTCTTGTTAGATCAGCTGGCCCGTTGTTTCAAGTGTTATGTCCGGCAGTGCCGTTAAGCGTTCTATCAGACCGCTAGCACTAAATCATTTACATCGAAAGGATTCGAGCCTAAATTATAACTTGTCCCCCTAAATTATAACGGATTCGAGCCTAAATTATAACGATACCCCCTAGGCTGCCACCGGGACTCGTCTTAACTTAGCCGGCCAATCTAGACAACTGTATCAGGCTAATCTTAGCATAAAGCTTTACTTCTATGATATAACGATGATTTTAGACAGGAAACTATTAGCTAATATTACAATACTTACTTGTATTGTTGCAAGATGCAGGAAAAATGTTTATTCAAAAACAATCGCTTTTTTAACAAAATGAGATGTTATTAATTATAAAGTACTCTCAAGTTCTGATTAAAAAGTTTCTTGGCGACTGAAACAAGCTCGTTATGTGATATCAAATCAAAAAAAAAAGACCCATGACGATTTACAAATAAAATCGTTAACATTATTAGCTAACTAAAACGAAGCGAACTATAGCCATTCAACATCGAGTTACACATAATTAGTTTAGCTGATAAAAAAAGTTAGCAAAATTATTTTTATTCTTAAAGGAATTATTTAGCTTTTAAATTTTATTATTAAAATATTAGTAAGATAATTATTTTAAAATTTAAATAAAATTATTTAAATAAAGTAATACATCTCGAATTCTACGTTATTTTCCAAGTATTAGGGTATTTATAATTGCTCTCCTATTATTCGAATTCTCACTATACACAAATAAGAAAAAATGATTACTTATAAATGTACGAAAAAAAAAAGAGGTTGTTTTTACGTTGTACTTGTAGTAAGTTTCCAAAAACGAAAAAAATCTTTCGATACCTTTCACGTCCGACTGGGTCATAAAGAAAGAAATCGACAACACATACAGTGGTAACTGAAGAAGACAAAAGTCAATGATATTCAGCTACCTCAAACCGAATAGTGCCTCTGTGTTCCCCTGTGGTAAATTGTTCTGGCCAGTTTTGATTGAGATCTTAATTCAGTAAGAACTTATACACTTAGATGTTGTATAAGTAAGAAATTTTATAACTATATATATATATATATATATAAAAGCACCACAACAAACCCAAAAGGCTAACGATTTATAAAGTCAGAAGGTTCAATAGCAAACACATACTTCAGAACAGAACGCTGATGTCTACCTATTGACCGATATTGGAACGTTCAATACGACCCATGCGATGAGAAATATAGCAGCGTTATGTCATACTATGAGGTATTATACAAAATATACTTATAAATAGTACAAAAAGGCCAGTGTACGCAGCCTATCTTATGCTCTAATACTACAGTTACATCACTGTCTGCTCTAGGTGGATACGATAAACACAAATTTAGAGGCCAGTTAGTGAATTATAAACGTTTAATAACATAAATATTATGCAAATTCTAATGAATGAAAAGATATAATAAGACCTAAGTTCAATGTGAATGCCGTGGGCTTTGGTTTTTAGGGGCGGAAACATCTCACATATACTCAAAACATCCGTTGGGTGTCTGGTGAATACAGATGTAATTTCGCCTCCAAACACGATGAGCTTGTCTGACACAGCACTTTGATGCAAACGCCAAATGTAAAATTTTCACCGTTAATTTAATGTGCCGGGTTTATTAAAAATAGCTAAGGTAACTCTTATCTCGACATCAAAAAAGATGCACCTAATTTATATTGCGCGCCCTATTACTCCAGGTACCTTCTCAGGAGCGTTGTAGTTGGCGCTGTTATACCAAATCTACCAGTGACGTTGGCCACGTACTAACATTGTTTCTTATCTGAAGTCTCGACGATCCTTGACTCTACTTTGCACGAAAACTCTCTACTCTTAGGACCTCTTTCCTATTGTGGATGGCCCCGCACTGTGAGATTTCCGTCTCGTCGCCTGGATCATTTCCGGGCTACATCATCGGAGTCTTACTTCGATGTGAATGTATGCCGGCAAGCAGGAATAAAGAAAGAATGCTTTCTTTCTAGTATGAAGCTAATATCATGCAAATAATGTTGGTAACCCCCTATTCTTGTCGGTCTCCTTCACCTGCCTTGTGGTTCAGACCTTGCGTCTGAACCCCACACTTTTTCCACTCTATCAAACGGTTCCGGACTTCTTTTTAAGGTCTGTTAGTCCTCTGGTTGCCAAACCTATCGTTCTATATAGACGTTTGGTGACAAACGTCGGCTAGGCTGACCCTGCCCTCCCCTTCTTTGCCTTCTCATTTGAAAGGTTGTCCAGCTGATGATTGTGAAATTTTCGTTACCTTTGCTGGCGTATCAACACTCGTCTGCTGCAAGCAACGGTTTAACCCAACTGCACTGCGTAGACCTACCGGATGCATGAGCCTTTCGTGTCGTCAAGTTCCATAGGAAACCATACTAAGAACCCACTTTTTTTGTTTTACTAAATCTGGTGCTAACTGAGACCACACAGTGAGACAGGTTTTATCAGTCCTTTTGTTAATTTTTTTAATGGCGTTCGTGGTTATTCACCTACTTTTTCTTTGGCATTTGAATGTCAATGGAAAAAAAGGGCCCTAAGTCAGTTATCGTTCATAGATATTTATTATGCGCCCGCAGAAAAAAAGGACAGTCAATAGTTTTGATTTTTGTCTTTCATGCCCCTGTAAGTGCCCTTGATCTGTGTGAGTTGCGCAGAGACTGTGAATCTAGCTAATGTGAGTCGCTGGTGAGATCTGATTGATTTTTTGTCCTCTTTTTGCAAAACGTATGAATAGGACTTGTTCACGCACGGCTGCATCATTCCTCATCGCTGCCTTTTTTATTTCCTATCACTTATAAGCATTTCCTTAAATAGTGGAGACTAGAGACGGTCCACGTAACTCTAAAAGAGATACTCTATGACAATTTTACAGTGAAAATAATGATTAGGTTGAATTTAGGACTGGGAATATTTCACGTACCTTGCACAGCAATGGGACATGACAGGAAACCACGTACCGTTCATAATAACTAACCACACAAAGCTCATACGATACGTACGTTCATGTTTGAAATTCATCTCGTTTTTCTATACGAAGATCTTTCTTGGCGAGGATGCTGTGCGGAACCGTGTGTTCAATTGAACTCTAAATATAAGAAAACCGTCAATTTACCTTTTCTATATCTGATGTGAGCCAATAGCCTAAGGGTTGTCGATGAGGTCTTTGAGAACGTAACGAACCCTAGGATCTGTTATATTCTATGTAGACCACGTTTTGGCTACCCATCTATACAAAATCTGCCGCCGGTAGCTATTTTGTTTACAAACAGTTCTGAATCACTATGTAGCTACAGTTACGTGCAATGTTCTGTCCTGGAATCAGCATCTTCCATCCATTGATAGTGCAGCCGACGTGTAAATAGCGTTCCATTATGATAAAATTAAAGTTAATTCTAATAAGGTTATGAACTTGTTGTCTACTTAGGGAAAACCAATTTCCTATTTATCACTGTTATTTTTTTCTCGTATCTCAAGCTTAGTCTAGCTATTAGCGCAAGTGTTTTTCTATCTCAGCCTTTCGAATGGCACAATTCTACCAGATTAAAGAAGCTCATGTAATGGAGCTCACTAGGTTTAACCGATACTTATACTAAGAGGCTATCCGATATCTGAATTTTGACATCTATTCGTTCACAGCTTCCGTGAATCTTTATTGCATCAACTTCGTTACCCAATTATAATAATTTGAATACTATTAGTTCTCGAATTATCAATCCTTATTAATTAATAAATCCTTACTTACCGATACTTATCCTATAGACGCCATTACCGTCATCGAATCCAATCTATAGCTCCATTACCCAAAAAAAATTAGGCTAAAGGCAATAATTTTCCGTGGACAACTTTAGCTATAGAGGCAAACAAACAGACACTCGATTTTAGTTGTATAAAGATAAAGAAAAATTAGCAACAGTTAAATAAAGGGATGATGATGCATGCTGGGTATTTGATTATTATCAAATATTTAAAATATCATCGTGAACACCTATCGGCTGGAAACTGTAAACATTTATAATGCAAATAACAGAATCCGAAGCGGAGAACAACGTCCTGGAGAAGGATTCTCCCGCTGCCTTCGATTTCATTGTCGAAGTCTCTATTCATTAATTGATTGAGCTGACAGGTAACTCTTATCAAATCTAGCTACCTTAGCCATTGTCTTCATCATAAGTTCATCTCAGTAGAATATTTGTTGATGATAGGGGGGTTTCTGTTATATGCGTATAATGACAATACATGTTTGGTAAGCTTCCCTTTTGTTGTTTGAAGTGAAATGTAAACGTTTCATGCAGTGCAAAATCTATCATAACCTACTGCTTTACAGGAAAAGGCAAGGCACAGAAGCTTTGTCGTTAAAACATTTATAATGCAGGCCATTGTCGCGCTAGAGTGTTAGGTGCGTTACACAGCATATCTGAAAAGGAATGTTTTGAAGACGGATGGGGGAGCTGAAGTAAAGACAAACCCATTGTCGAAATGTCCTAGACGATGTTTTCCAGCTAAAGTGGCGTATCTTGTGCAAAAGTTGACGCCAGACAGAAGCGCCGTATCTATATAACGTATCTATCGAGTTTCATCTTTATACGTTAATAGAAAAGAAAAGTGTCTTACACGAGACTTTCTCCCGCTTTTCAGCGATCCTAAAAAGCTGTTTAGGGAATGAGCAGCAGCTCACGTCAGGACATTGCAGATCCGATCAGGCATAACAAGCGAATTGCTAAAAACATCCCTGAAAGCACTTGTAGGTAGCATTTATTGTTAAGCTATTTCTAACTGATCGAATGCGTAGACACCTATGTTCATATCCGGTAACTCGGCTCCCTTGGACTCAAGAAGTGAAAGCATATTTTTCTAAGAACGCTCTATGATCGATTTCAATTATAGACAAAAAAAAAAAAAAAAACCCATTTTGTGGCAGCCCCATTTTCCTTTATGTATTTACGTGAATACTCCTATTATAGAATTAATCAATGTCCTCACTATAACCACATAAGAATATAGAAACAACAGGAAAATGAAAAAAACATCTGTTAGTTCTACTAGACAACGTACCCCATTTGACCAAGTTCCACCTAATGCTCCCTCTGTAGTTGTTGGTCTCAAAAAGGGAGCTATTTTTTTTACCGCTCCGCTTTTAGACGCAAAACTGAGCTAGAATGTAGTCGCTCAGCGTCTATGTTAATGTATCAAATAAGCGAACATCAATGCGCACCGACCTTTATTATTTTGCTTCTCTCTGATAATGGCTCGATTCTGGCAGAATCATCGTAATGAAAACCCGTGGTTGTTGTTAAGCAGCGTTTTTATAGTTTTATATAGATGTGTAAACGTTGCGCGTGTACTCCACCGCACTGTATATAGATGTAGTTAAAAGACTTTTTTTTGGCCCTGATTTTGTGACAAATTTGTAAGCAAAACACGCGCCACATAAGCATAAAAATCTAAAAGCAATGCAGCAGAAGAAAGCGGCAAGTTCGACAGGACATGATGGAATAGATAGCAGCATTGCAAAACAGCGACGATACACCGAACATTTATGGGCTGTTCGCCGAGATCAATGTCGCATGGTTTCCTTTCGCCTACTGCTCGAGTCGGTCGGCCCCTTGAGCAAGTCAGTAAGAACAAAATCGACGCAGCTTATTTGGTGCAGAGCGCTAGGTGAGGTCATTCGGCCAAGAGGAGCATGAGATTCAACCGGAAGCGCCCAGCTAAGGATAAAAGCCAGCGTACAAAGTCAAACGATCTTCCGTTTCTGCCGAACCCGGCCAGCCCTGGCCTGCTTGCGCCTTGGCATCCTCGCCTTTGAAGACCAGAGGCTACGAAGCGTAATAAGGAGATTGTAGTCGGTGATGGCGAGTAACGGAAAAAAGGAGCTTTGTTTAGAAGAGACCAATGGAAAGATGCTGGTTAGGACAACATTTGCTTGGGTTACGACGAGGACAGAAATCAATAACCCTGCATTTTCTGGAGGATAACATAACGAAATAAGAGGTCAAAACAAAACAATAAGTAAAAACAAAGTCTATTTGTAGAAAGGAAAGAAACAACGAGAAAAAGCTCAGCAATCACGGTAGTGTTTTGAAGCCAATATCTACCTCGAGGAAATAGGAAAAAAAAAGGGAGAATTTTATTCGAGAAGCAAACATTTGTCAGGTTCACGACCCTGGTAGTTTTGGTACAGACCATACGTCTTTCGGTGAGGAGCCAATTCCAAAGCACTAACCTAGGAAATGCTTCCTCGGGGAAAGAAACTCATTTCCTTACGAAGGAATAATTCTTAGGCAAAAAAATAATGTAAGATAAGAAGACTCTGCAGATGACCAGTCTGCACAATTGTACATATAAATATATATATATATACAATATATAAATATAGATATTGCTTATAAAAAACGTACATACAAGGTTATATATATTTACTGAGAGAAACACAAGGGCTTGTTCAATTACGTCGTGAAAATATTACGTTCAGAATAAAATTCAAATTTAAAGAAAATCACAACGAAAAGTTTATATATATAAGGGTTAAAGGTCCTTGTAACGTCGGAACGTGTTCATAATCTGTTGTGTCTGGCCGCCACCAACCCTCGAGCTAGTCTTACAAGTCACACATTTTTTCAAAACTTCAGCTTCCATCGCTCAGCGCCATCGATGACGCTATTTTCCGTTTTGTTTCGTATGGCCTCATTAAACCGGTAAAGTTACTGCAGTTGATCTATGCAAACTTTCCAGGACTAGGATGGACGAATTAGCGCTTAGCATCATTATTGTTGTTTGATCGGCTATAACTGTACCTTTAGCTATGCGTGTGACAGAAGGGGAAAGATGTTGGATAACTATAACACGGTGTAGCTATACTTTTAATGGGTAATTATAATAAGGAACACAATAGAAATATGTGACGATAGTATTTGAGATGTTTGCGGTTCGGGAGTTTGACCCACAGTCAATTTGTGTCGACGCATGCAATGTAGTGATGATTATGATTAACACCATTACGCACAATCCGTATTATACATATATATTAGACACCGCTAAGGCCTCATCTGTTGTTGTTGTTGCTGTTTTTTTTTCTAATTCCAGTGATTTAGTTATTGTGAACGGCCTAAACCTGCTATGTTCCTTGATTGCATTTTCACGTTCAAGTTCTTATGTCGCCTTATCTAGCTAGACCAAATGTATTGTTCCGCTACTTCCGTTGCCACGTCCTATCAGTTCGGCCACGTTGTTTTCAGTAATTCCATTATCTCTCTAGTTAACTATTCTAGGATTCTATAGCAAGTGTTTAATTTCTCTACGCCAGTCGTCCTGTGCTAGGGCATAATTTTGCTACTTTCTGTATTGAGACGCTACCAAACAACTACGCCGTTTTACAAAGGCGAAACTGCTTCGAACTTTCAAAATGTCTCAGGAAACTGAGCTAACAAACAACGTAAGAACATCGGTATTTCTAGAAATTATCGATTACTAACAAAGGATAGAATACAACATTAGGCTTTCAGCAAAAAAAAAAAAAGACAACATTCCCGATATTGAGGCAACTGAGTTAAAGATAAGTCGTGTCTTTCCACTTACACTCGAATTTTATATATATTTCGAGTATATAAGTATAAGTTTTTGATATTATTGGCATATAGATGTCAATATATAGACAAACTCTGACTCGTTTATATGGAAACCAATATAGGAATATGCATACATGTGCAAAATTTGCATCATCATAGTGGGGCGTAGCGACTCGAGTAAGTGGCGGGGTTTTGCGGACTTTGTAATGGCCTAGCGGCGATCAACTGACTACGTTAAAGCCGATGTTCAAGGCTCAAACTATTTAACGCGAGTGATTCGAACTGGAAGCACCACATACACTCTCATACATACGCTTAATTGTTAAATTGCTCTAAGAGACTGATCAAAGCTACGCTGTGATCTGTCCAATAATGATGGTTTTCTGTTTATAATCTACAGGACTCTGTTTGGCCTCTATGTGTGCTGGAACTATTGATCAAGCCTGTGGCAAAATAGGAGAATTTTATAAATAAAGGAATCAAAGAAAAGATAATATTAATGCAATTACTATTACGACGCTGAAATAATTCCGAAACCGTGGTTCGGCATAGGTATATCTTCAGGAAGACCAGGCTTACCAAAAGAGTACTGTCTCCTGAGGTTGCTGCATCTTTTAAGTACTGTTTCTCATTGGCAAGGAAAATTCAGATCAATACGCTGCGGTCCGGACAATTTCGATGACTTTAAGGCACACTCGTTTGCATATGTCTATGGTCGATTTCAGAAACTGGTGGTGATGGAAAATCGGTATGCTCATGCGGTACCAGCATCGGAAATGGGGTTACTGCCATAGCTTCGGCACTTCCCATAACGTCTCTTCAAGCGGTGCAAGCTATCTTCAACAATTCACCACAGCAACTATATCAGTCGCCGGGCGGACGTCTAACAACTGTCGTTTCTCAAACTCTGCAAGCCCTCAAGACTGGCTACCTTTATCGATATAAGAGTACGTCAAGTAGTTATAATGCGGATTTTTTTTCCAATATCGCTTCCAGCCTAATTTAGCGGCGGACAATGGAAGATAATGGGATACAGCTCCGGCATATATAAATAGCCTGTGTATTATTTTCTGTTATGTGTTCATTTGAAAGTTAACAGACATAAAGCTAATCCATCCGCTAAAATCAACTCTTGTATTTAACAGAAGCGTTATTTAACAAAAATACGCAATTTTTGTTCGTTTCTTCTTTTCGATTTCGCAGAACGTCTTTTGAATAAAGATTGGCGCCGCGAGTACTGCGTTCTACTCAGTGATTCATCTCTGGTCTGGTTCAAAGGCGGCGATCGTCGTGCACCAGCTGGCAGACTCGTACTACGGGACGCCCCTCAGCTAATCGCTTACGGAGCTTATACCAACAAAGTAGGTTGTGTCAGATATGACAGCTAGAACTGAAAAGGTTCTAATGATTATAGCGACGGCAACAATGAGGATTTTCTATAAAAGCAATTGGAAAACAGGATAATGCAAGTCAATGACAAATCGATCCTGGACTTTAGTTGACCTTTTGCTGACCTTGTAGGACACGTGCCTTGTCTAACACTAAAAATAGTAAGGCGGTTTTCGACGATCACACATATTCAGCTAAGGATAACAATGATTCATAACAAACAAATCAATTCATATACAATGCTTATAGTTGCTAAATTAACTGTAATATGTGAGACGCTTACTTAATCTAGGCCATAATTAGAACCCAATGTAATTTTAGTTGCTTATTGCAAGCCTTAAGAGCTGATGGCTGAGGCTAGTTTCAATATGAGACATAACGAATTCCACTTTACTCATAACATAAGTTATTTTACTTCATCTCACGCTGGTCGATTTTGAACACTAGCATTCTAGGGAACTCTGGCTAGAAAAAGGAATTGGTGGGCAAGCTCTTCGCGTTCAATTCGGAAGGTTTCAAAAGAAAAGCCTTTCTTTTTTAGACCAAGTAGGCGTGGTTAGTAGAGGAGAAAGAAAAGGAGACTAAGAATAAAAAAGGGTTCTGTTTACGTCGGTGTGGGAAGAAAAAGTAACAACAGGAAGATTAAGGAGGTAAAACGGGACAATCAGCTCTAAACAGGACGACAGTTCTTCTTCCCTTTGTACCGTGCATATCCTCATGGAACACGAGTCACAAATTCACGGGTAATCTAGGATAGAAAAACAGATAAGGTGAGGAAGGGTTGTAAAGAAAGACCTCACTTCCTTTTCTTTCTACGAGACCCCCTATTTTCTATTACCCCCTCTCAACGTTTCTGCCTCTTTCCATGATGTCTTCAAAATCACACGTCGCGCAGTTTTTCTTCAACGACTCGAAATGGAATCACGTTATTTGCTAAGCTGGCAGCCGTCCGACTGCCGCATCCACCGCCCCGTATCAACTTACCCGTTACTCAACAACTAAAAACGCCGGTTTATCTCTTTTTGTTTAGTTTCTTGTTGTCCCTTGTCGGACCGACGTTTAAAGACGCTCGGCTGACATTCGGTTCCCAATTGTTTCTCCGCCTACCTGCCTTATTTAAGCTTTGGTCGTCGCAGTTCGCTTTCTAGCATACGTTCTCTAGCTTTCCTGCTACCAAGCAATGCTGCACTAACTAGCATCACTTCATCAGCGGGTTTGAACGTCGAAAAGTATCGAACTAGTCTAGTTGGCGAAGGGGAAGACATAGAACGGGAAAGGAGACCAAGTAATCGGAGTAAACAAAGGGAGCAGAAAAGAAAGAAAAAGCTTAACGAAAAAGAAGACAGCTTAGGAAGGAAGCGGAACGATTGGGAAAAAAGTGGATTTTTTTCCAATTACCTTGTTGCTCAAACGAAAAGCAAAGGTTTGCTAGTGCACATCTACCTGTTTTCATTACTTTTCAACAATTTGTCCAGCTGCTACTTTCTCTAGCTAGTCGTGGTGCTTGTTCCGTCTGCCACGAAGCCTGCTGCTAGGGACAGCTAAAGACTTCATTGCCCCGTCATGTCTGATGCTGCTTGAATCCATTTTATCCTGCAGCTTCATACGCTCCTCGCTCCGTTGTTAGAACGCTGCTAGCGGACGATAACGACCGCTTCTACAGCATGTAAAGAAGCTGCTTCTGCCGTCGCTAAAATGTTTTTTGTTTCTCGTTCTTAAAAGCTTCCCAGTCTTCTAATGCTGCCGTCAAAACTAGCTGTGATCTAAGTAGTATCGGTAACTGGAACGCGTCAGCCAAACCTTTACAATCAAATAGGTTAGAAACTCAACGCGGGTTAAAAAATTCGACACAGACGATAAAATGGACGTTATTGTTGCTTGCCTATCACGAAAGCAAAAACGCTGCTGTCCCATATCAGGACGAAACGCGTCCTTTGTTATCATAGATTTCAGAGCCATGCAGACCAGGTACTTGTCTGTTGGCAAGACTCTATTTTGGAATCGAGCAATAAGATCACGACATTCTGCAGTGGTGCGGTACGCATGACAATGGATGTGTGCGGTAACTCTTTGTTTTGTTTGTTTATTTACTTGTTGATATGAGTTGTTGACCCGCCGTCTTCTCTATCTTGGGCGAACAAACGTGGGGATCAAACTCAAGCAATAACCCAGAGATATGGTTGATATAATATGGTTGGTAATAATGAATCACTGCAGTCCGAGGCGTCTTTCTAGCATTATGCTGATAGTTGTTATTGGCATTGATATTATTAGTTTTAAATTAAAATATAGGTCGAATTGTAAACTGAGGGATGGTGCGTTGACTCCATGTAGGTAGTAAACGAACTGGTCTATTAACAATGCACAATACGTTTGACTTGCCATTAAATTTCAGGTTTACTATAATATCTGAACGTATAATATAGACTCTCCCTAAGATGAGGCTTATCTAGAACAAGTTATACTAATCATATCCGTTTTTCTTTTGCCGCAACGTTTATACTTAAACAATAATTACGAAGTTAGTTTCAAGTATTGGGATAGCTGGAAGAAAAAACGATATTATATTTGGTTCTATATACTACAATAGCTTAAAATTTTCTCTCGATGTCGGCTGAGGTAGTACCAAGATTCATATTATTCGCATATTCTGCACAAGTTGGGCATTCGAACCCAGACATATACGCGAAAGAGTCAAAATTAATCTTTTTTTTATATCGTAGTCGCACTGTAAGCAATGAATTTAACTAAATCAAAGAAATATATATAAAGCTTATACATTTACTATATCGAGCGTACACACCTTACCGTTTTCGTCCAAGAAAGATCTTGGAGCCGAAAGTTGACAGGTTCTGCAGGTTAACGGTCGGCCGAGAAAAAATTACAATGAAAATGAGGAAAAAAATAAAATCCATGATAAAGATAATTCTAGTATTAAAATAGGCAGTTTTCGAAGTTAACCCTAAAATCATCTAATATACTGTGTACTCTTTTGTCTCAGGTTCCTCTGAAGCCATCCAAACTGCCTTCCGGCTACAACGAGGATCAGCTACTCGTATTTGGAGAGATCAGACGCAATAGGCGAGGCTTTGTCGTAATCGTTCACTGGTTTCTCACCGAGGAACCTAATCATACATTGTAAGTTTTCATTTCGCTTCAGCGAACAGACAAGCTGTTGTCATACGTTACCAGTTCTACATCTGTCTTTGTACCTTTTGTCACGGCAGTGCTTGATAAACTTTTATTTTCGTGGACCTGGCTTGCTTCAGCGCAATATACGAGTCTGCATTCTACTGTGATAATTTGCAATCCTGTTACCTAAATATGTATTATACTATGCTTCAGGTTTATTAAACTAGGTTTATGGGGAATATGGAAACACTACTAAAATAATCAGCAAACTAGGTACTATGATCGAACTAGTCTGGGATTTCGGTTGCACTTTTCGAACTTAGTATATCTATTGGCAAAAAAATAACAAAATATGCCATTGAGTTTTTTTTAAATGCATGTTACCTTGTCACTGAAGGATATTGTGAAGGCCCGTAATTAGCTTCCACTTAACTATGTAGATAGAGAGGACAGCCAAGCAAGAACTATGATTGCAATGATACCAAATCGTGTATGCTCGCACCGTAGGTTACTCAGGAGCCTGCGTTATCATTCTTAAAATCATCTTTTGTAGTATTTATGCTTCAACACTACTTAACGCGTTAGTTGAAAGTGTTTCATTAAGTAGAACAGGTAACATTAAAACAAAGGGAAATAACCCTAGAGAGAAAGATAATATTTGCTGGTATTTAACCCTCCAGCAGAAGTTCATGAGTGGGCTATTTTAGCGGCAGCGGGCAAAATGTGTGGCTCATCGATCGACTTATATTATACCAGCCTGTCCAGCTGTCCGTTACTCACCGTCATTGCATATGACGTGTACTTTCCGTCTTTTCGATTTATAAGTAGTACGGTATCAACAAAACAGTGCTAAAAACTTTCAACCTTAATAGTGTATATAAACAATATATTTCACTTAGGCATTTAAATATAATACAGGAGAAACAAGTTCCTACACTAACTTAGAGGCCATTCAAATTTATACTCGTACGCGTCGACTTGAAGTTCATTCTACGAATTTTTAACAAAAGTAATGGATTTTATGAAGATTTCAGCTAAGGTCATATATAAGCAATGACACATGATATTGGGTCTGGCAGTGAATAGAGTATCTTCCGACTTCGTTCCTTGAGGTGAAATGTGGAAAAAATTTTAGACAGAGACTTTAGACTTTATAAATGAGCTTGGTTTTTGCACAGTTTCATTCGGAAAAGTAACCAGTGGACCCCTGCCTACTAAGCTGCTATGTCCACGATTGAGATGGTAGACATAGCTTCGTTGTGAATAAATAGTGAGGTATTACATACGTCCCTAATGTCTTAATCCCTACATAAAGGAGTACCACCCTTTCATGTTAATATATTCCAGCTTGTATTTAGCTCAGATCGATTAAATAGGTCGGGCATAAGTTAGTATGGCTTTCCCGAGAGTTTACCTGAGCAAGACATTTACTCATTCACGTCTGACATATATATCGGCCATCATTGAGTTGAAACGTCACCATTTGCTGAAATACAATTGACATTACGACCGTTGTCTTTATCGAGGCTGACCAGAAGTATATGCTTTTCGTTTTGTCTGCGCTAAAACGCTTGTTGTGGAACAGCGTTAACTCGCTTAATCTTCGAGAAATTTCCAGAATCATTAACTTAGCATTTTTCCACGGTACCAGATAGCGTTAACGACGCATTACCTAATGCAAATGATCTTTCTAATTGGTTACTACCAAGAGACGTCGCCTATTTTTTTTAACGAAAAGCGGTCGTAGCAGGACGATCAGCCATTTCAGGATATACGTACGCGCAACAATCCGCGATCAGAATAGTTCGCGTGACTGGGACACGTGGATTGCCACATTCATTACATGTAAATTTTTACCTTGTCCTTGGTTTTCGGCCTACTTTTTGGCTCCCTCTACTTTTTCTTTTTCAATGTCTATTTGCATACGTTATTGCACTTCAAGGACCTGATCTTGCCGCTGTCAACGATTGAGAATTATCGGCGACATCGTGTTTGTACCCTTCTTTCACGTGCGTTTCTCCTGCACGGCTCCTCACTGATTCAGACTCGCAGCAACCTTGAAGAAAAGCCTCTACCTGCAGTTGGAGACTTGAGCTTTGTCCTGCGCACGCTAGGAAGACAGCGCTGCCGTGAAGATCAGCAGGCAGTTAATTAACTAACGATCCAGTTCGATTTGTCCCCATTACAATTACGGTCAGAGGCAGGACAGCACCAGCAGTCGTATGTATTCCTGGCACCCACACGCTACTCATCTGCTGCCCCCTGTTGTGGTTCACCTAGCTCCGTAGCTGTTGTCATTTCACCGCCATTGACATTTTTGCTATTTACTGCGTAGCGAAAAAGCTTACTCGGAAAAACGCTACAGAAAACGTGGAAAATGTTGCTATCCCCCCAGAGGCATAAATGAACGAATCCCGAACAAGTGTTAGCGGGACAGCCGCACTGAAACTACGCGAGAGAAGAAAGAAACCGGGAGCAACCTTTTCCTCCCGCCCACCGGGTTTAGATCCCATGGTACTTTCAAAATTTTTGCCTGACCTTACTGATGCTTGTATCGTTCCCGTTCAATTTCTCCTTTTGTGTCTTTTTTTTCGCTCCGCCTTCTATCGGGTCTGCCCCTGTCTCGCTCTTCGACAGAGATGTCGTTTTCACTGTCGCAACTATCAATGTGCTCCGTCTTTACTAGCTAGCCATCTCACTTTAGGTACCACTTACAATTACCCTTCAGAAACTGAGCTCTTTGTACCTTCTTTGACTCAGTGAGGCTCCGTCTCTTCTGTCTGGCCTGGTCTAGCCACACTACCTTGGCATCCTTTTTTGCAGTTTTACGCCCAATTTTACAGACTTGCAGGTCCGTCAGCTCTGACCTAACCTAGATCAGTCGCTACTATTGTCACACAGCAAGCACCATAGAAATATAATGTTTTACCACAAACCAGCGCGCGGCCTCAACCTACAGTGATGCTCGATTCGCTCGTTGCCAACGTCTAGCTTTTATCATAGACTGCTACAGTGTTAACGGTAAGAGATAGTAAGCATCTAGCCGCGTTCAACTAGCGAAAAACTTTCCAGCCATCTGAAAAAATCTATTAGTACGTGTCAAATTCCTCCTAGCTAACTTTATGTCAGAGTCCTGCTGTTTCGGCAGCTATAAATCGGGCCGCAATGTAACGTGTTACAGGGCTGCTTTTGCATCCTCCCAGCAGTACCCCACTGGTCACTATGTGTCCGTAGAAGTACACATGATGTTGATAAGGCACCCGTGAAACCGAATGAGGTTTTCGTGCGTGCTATGAACTCCACGGCACCAGCCTTTCCCAGCTAACCTACTCGAGTATTAGCTGGACTCTAAATAAAACTGGATCATTGCTATTTGGAGAGGGTGAGGAAGTACTTAGAGGAAAACAGCAGAAAAACAAAGAACGAAACTGAACGTTCGTATTTCTCCCGTTTTCGCCGTCATGATCTTCTATTATTGCGGTTATGACATAGCCTCTTTTATTCTTACTTTTTGACGCTACCAGGGCTCATGCTCTTCCTCTGTGCGGCGCTTCAGCGATGGCAGAAATGATAGCATAGAACATGTTACACAGCTCGGCCCCTCTAACCCAACAGAATGCATCCAAGGGTTCTCTATCGCTTGAAGAAACCAATGCGAAAAAAAAAGAAGGTCGTAAAGATCAAGTGTAAGCAAACGAACAAAGAGGTAAATACTGAACGAGAAGACAAACGATCTGCCCGACCAACAACAACGAAGTAGTAATAGCGATCACGGTAACAAAGGTTCAGGCGACGACAGCGACAGCCTCACGAGTAACAGACTTAACTGAAGCGCTCACAAGGACGAATATAATAATACGATTATATTACTCTGACAGTCCTCAACGGCAAGGTTATTAGCATGCAAAACGTGTGACCGTTGGAAGAAGTATATGAAGCTTACAAACATACTGTAACCTTAGTCTAGGTTTTTATTTAAAATTTGTGTGCTGTTAAGAATAAAACGCAAAAAAGGGCTCGCAGTGAAAACAAATAAATGTATCGCTTATCCTCATTTTTGAAAATCATCTCATTAAATAACTCTTTGTGTGCTTATAACGCGGAAATTATGTACGTTCTTTTTTTGATTGCAGAGATTGGATAAATGCTATCATTAACACTGTAAGTATCACATGGTTCCTGCACGTGTCAGAAATCATCTTAAAGTTAAATTTGTTGCGGATATTGGTCATAGCGTACCTGTGTAAATAATGACACACTATCATATACTAACTGTCGAGTCCCATACAAAAGACGCAATACTTCTTTGACTAATCTTAATTATGGACTATGTGTCCGTTGCGTTAGTTCAATTCACTTATAAGATATTCAATCCATGGACGCGTTTTTTTCTAACAAGGTGCTCCCCCGTACAGATTCCCGCTCCACCGCCACCGCCCTACTCGGAAAATGACGAGATTCAGCGGAATCATGGCTATCTCAACATGAACAAACTTGCCAGTGATCTCACGTTAATGGATATTAAAGGTAAAACTTGAAAAAGGTCAATATTTTTTAAAATTCTACGACAAATCTGTCTATGGTTCAAATATATATATATATATATTTCAAGTTAGCGTGTGTTGCCAGCATCATATCTACTTTTCGAAACCGTCTAATTTTCACGTTTGGCAGAATCGTCAATTCGAAATGAGAAATCTGTTTCGCGCGGTCGAAGCTCGTCAAAAGGCGCCTCGCAAGAAGCCACGGCCTGCGGCGACGGAACGGCCCGAAGTTCGTCGCGGAAGTCACGAGGAGTTGATGCCGAAGAGGCTGCCATGAATGCCGCTTTAAACTCAGGCACTACTACGGGTAGCTTTCTAATCGCGTTACTAATTACTATGTTGTTATTACTCTGTCTATAGATGGTCGATTTTTGTAGTACCAGTTTGAAATGGACATTTTGACAAAATCTAATTTTGTTTATCAGTTAAACACTTTCCCTTCTTTTCTTCTTGATACTGTAGTTAATATGGGAAAGGGGAATACGTTTTTCCGACGGCAAACCGATCGTTTACCAGACTAGACTTCTTTTATCCATGGCCTTGTGTCTTTCTCTTAAGGTTGGGGCCGAAGTCCTGGCTGGAGTGTTCAAGGTGATCCCGCACAGATCTTGTGCTACTATGCAGCAGCAGAAGCAGCTATGGTGGATCTGAGCGCGTCAGATCTGGCATTTGATATTCCCGGTATGTGTATGCAATAAGAGAACAACCTGTCTGTAGGATTGCATACCTCCTACTACAGATACATGATAATTTTGTATGTCTATAAAAAATGTCTATAAAATGTAAAATAGTTGCTTTCAGACGCAAACTAATTATCTGATCCGATTTAGCAAGTGAAAGGTTTCATTGAAGAACTAAGCGGACAAGAAGGAAAAATATTGCGGGTGTAGACAAACGGCTCTCGAAGATCAACAAAAATGATCACTTGAAAGTTGAAAGGTATTCAATAAACAAGTCAGCTCGTAAGCCCGCTCTGTACTGTGTATTATACGTGATTTCAACAAATGTGTGTCAAAATTTTTTTTCTACCTTGTATATTATCTAAGCCTCAACAGACTAACTTTTCCGTGTTGAATTGCTATAAATATTGCAATCAAAGGGAGCAGCTGGAACCAAATATTACTTACGAAGATGAATAAAAAGTACTTTCTAGAAATGGAAAATCACGGATCCGTTTTTAGTTGAAAATTACTATCTGTTTTTCATAAATAAAATTGTCATATACTATGTCAAACAAAGTCACCCCTTGGGTAGCATTTTTAATCAACTTTAGCCTCTTCTTAAATACATTGTGTTGTACTGCATTGTTTCTATTGCCTATTAATAATGAACATTGATACTTTCAATTTCAATTTTTTTAGCTGATTTAGGTGATCTGGACATTGGCGGTTCGATGTTAGGTGATTTCGGGGATGCAAGCGCCATGGATTTTGGCGGGTTCTTCTAAATCGGCGTAGTCTCAACTGTCGTGAAGTACGTACTTAAGGAAATCGGTGCTTATTCAAGCGATACTTAATGTTCAACCTAGGTGATTAGTCTAAACATCGCGGATCACTTTTTATGGATTATAGATAATCGCAAATAAATTTGTGATAAACAAAAAAGGAAAAAAAAACGAGATAAATAACGATAGTGATCGATTTCTTCATTTCACTTCACCGACAGTTGTCGTTAAAAAGTACTCATAAAGCCAACGCGCGAAGAGCGGAGATCTGTGGAGGAACGACCTGTCTTCGAATGTCGGAACACTCCTGCCTATCTGTCTCCACACGCTATTGTGTACAGTTATTAGATTAGAATAATTAAACCACTATTAGATCTCACGCTATGCGAAAATTAGCACGGCACCATCGTGACGGTAAGCAGCACCCCTTAAAGAGATCTGTATCTATAAATGTTTCCCATTATTGTGAATGGACAAATGACCGTCTTCCGTAAAAATTGCCTAGAGAGTCACTTGATTTTTGTACTGGGCATGTTCTATAGAAGAGGTGTGACCTACGAAAGTTACAACCCTGCCATGTCTAACTGTTACGAGTCAACCACGGCAGAGTTGGGAAACGCCGTCACCGCCAAAGTTATCCAATTGAACAAAAGAGTATATTCGCGTACAACCCTTCCCCGAACCATGTTTACCAAACACTATAATACATAAAATCTAGCGGTGACGAATGCTGAACACATTCAACGTATTGGAATTTGTCTGTTGACCGCCAGCGTTAATGTATTCACAATGTACCCATATATGCAAGGAGGTATGGCAGTTGTAAGCATAGCGTCAAGAACCATGAAGAAACCAGCTGGTCTATGTATTGCCATACACTCCTTATCTTACTATAAGAAGAGATGTCCGTATTTAGTAGTTATATACGTACCATATACCAATAAAAGAATAAAATGCGCGATGCGTATTAGCACTAGAAAGAAAGTGAAAAAAGAGAAGACAACATAATCTGATTCGACCATGTGATCGGTTGCTGTAACAGTAATGTATGCCTATAGAAATACTGGTAACAACAAGCAATCACAATTAGCACAAAGTAGAAGAATTCAATACCTACTGATGCCAATAGTAATACTGATGTGTAGCATTAAATAATAATTTGAGTAATTACATTCAGAGAAAAACAGATGCGACTGATGTAAGCTAGAGGTTGTGTTTGGAGTTGGATGCCCTACGAAACGACGCATAGCTTGTTGGATAATTACCAATGACAAACGGCCGAAAAGTACTTCAAGAAAAAAAAATGAAAAGGAGGGTTGGGCATGGAAAATACTTATTCAGATAGAGAAGCCGGCGGAATTGGACGATCGAGAGGCGAGATGACACGTGATGGATCTAGCTTGAATAACGGCCTTTTTGAATGTTGTGTTGGGTAAACATTTGCTGGGTGTGGAAATTATTCGGACAGACTGTGTATCGAGAACGAATTGAACATAGAGGCTTTACGCGAAGGACATCCGCCTCAAGGCACCAGTCGGTTCAATGCTGCTTGCACAATAAAAACAGAAACAAACATACATACGATTACAATGAAACACCACTAAGCGAAATATGCTCGTTCCTTTTCTTCCTTGCAGATAGTAAGAGTCTATAATGATTACAGTTAATATCCCATGTACATATATATATGATAGGTTAACATATACATTATATATACTACGAGATGTGCAATACCTGGTAATGTAGATACGAAAAGAGACATGTCCATACGTAGTGCTATATGCCATATTTCACTATGAATTATGTCCCTTAACAACAATTAATGAGAAAAAGTGACATTGCAATTGCAGCAGTTATTGGCGCGAATTGAAAAAGATTTATTAATTATACTGCCAAGCAGGCCACTGTACAGCAGTAATACATTAAATTATAATCTTACTATCTATCTAATGTTACAACAATAAACACGACAAGGAAGATCGTATCGATGTGATTGTTCCTACTTCTAGAACTCGACCGTAGAGTACACTAAAATACAGCAACGAGTTTCAAAGCTTATTTTCCGTAAGTTTCTATAACCTAAAAGGCCTCTGAATGAAAAAAAAAACACTCACTTAAGGATTTCACGGTCAGTTTGCTCTTATATATATATATATATATAGTAAATCAAGGCCCAAAAGAAAAGTGCGATGAATGAATGATGCAATTCCAACAGGGCATCCGAACCAAGCGTGTAGAGTTTAGCATAAAATCTTTAGATGATTCAAGTGTGCAAACGTTGTCAGAAGAGACGTAACTTAAAGTAAGAGCGAATCTGTTGCAATTTTTGCCACATTCTTTTTGAGAGTATGACTTCTTTTTTAGTAATAGCTGATCATTGTTGACTAGATTTTGAAGCAAACGCTAGAACTTCCTTGTTTTAAATACTTTGTTTTTACAAAGCTGAAGTGCCAAACTTGTCCTTCCGTTACTAGAACATATAGGTCCCAATGTAAGGAAGGCAGCTGAGTTTACTTTAACCCAAGACAATACACTAGGCGTATCATAAGAATTAGCATGACCATAACACGATTACGAATTGACGATTTTGACCCCCTGTACTTCTGTAAAACAATAAACAATAATGAGAATTGGCCATGAAGATAATGACCATAATATGAAAGGAAATAATTCATTATACAAATGGACAGGTGTTGACAGGGAGGTCATTTTTACGTTAGAGGGATACACTGAGATCGAAAGTCGGAGGCCACTTCTTGCCTCGAAATCCATTGCCAGTTACTGTTCTGAACCTATGATTGTGGTTAATCTGACCCTTAGCAAATCGAATAAAAGGGAACTCATTATTACGACTACTATTATTGTCGGTATACGTAGGATTACGAATATTACCCTAACGGTATTGTATATAGCGCGAAGAGTGCTACAGCAAGCGGACAGCTAATTAGTGTTTAGCCGCTGACAATTTCGAAAAATTCGAAATATCGAACAAAACTTTCCATCCTCAAAACGAAGAATATTCACGTGCCCTTCATATCTATAGTTTGCGCGTCGAAATGATACTCGAACTACGATGTTTCTGAAACAAAATCGCAGGCCGAAATTCGCTACTCCACGTCACCATATGCGCGAGACTTCGTGATGTAAACACGAGACATTATGTAGTTGCTGACCGAAAAAACAAACAAGATGATGGAGAAGTGGCAAGCACTGCTACGTTGCCCTTGTATTCAGTGCCATCGAATCACCATAGTATCACCACGTGCACACATTTGAAAAAACTACCCCGTCACTACATAATAATCATATAATAATTAGTCGCTCTTTTGTAATTACGCTAAAATTATGGCGAACTTTTTTTGCTATAGCAGATGTCTACGCGATATTCCGATAGGTCTTAAACGGTCCAACAAGCCTAATAGTTCTCAAGATGCTGCCTAAGAACACCGAGATTGCTAAATCCCTCTGAATCATATGAACTGGGCGTGGTAAACGGTATAAAATATGGAAACAATTGACAATTAATTTTCAATATCATATCTGTCTGTGTGAGTATCAATAGATAAATAAATACACAACACAACGATGTCATAGAAACGTAGCGTGCCGTATACGCTATGCAATCAGCTATTTGTATAGAATAGACGTAAAACGTATTAATAGCCTAAATGAGCCACGCTAGTGTACTAGGTAGCTGCTCATATCATTATTTTTGTTATTATTACTATAAATGCTATTACAAGAACATTAGTTGTATATTGGTTAAGTGTGTCATTACGAACACTAGTAAGACTACTATAATAATCCATGGTTATATGGTTCTATCTTAGCTAATTACTTATTAAAAACGTCCCCTGGACAGCATGGACAGGGTCCAGTTTACCGTACTTCCTTGAAAGACTACGCTTATTTTTTCGCATTAATCATCCCTGAGAAATGGACGATGAAACGGGATTCGGCCCATTAGATTGTGCTGGGTAACGAAAAACGAGCGTAATCGTAGAAGCTTGTTAGCCATTACTGGGGTTTGATGACAGTCCATCCTGACAGCTCTCTAAGTGAAATTGAAGACATAAATATACAACTGTTAGCTGACACAGATGTACGAATGGTATATATGATATCGGCAAAACATACAAGGCACCACCAAACGGAAAAGCTTTCAGTTATACTGGGCTTAATCTAATTTTATTTTACTAGGTCTTGAAATAAACCTGTCACTGCACCCAGTAGAAAAAACATCGAAGCATACCCACGTTTCTTACTGAGAAGCACTCTAATTGTTCTAGCTAAAAACACTTAGCAATCAGAATAGAAAGAAAATACTGTACATTTAAGAAAGTTCACGAAACACATTATCTGCACAAACGACTGATTATGCCCCGCTCTCTGACTACATATGCAATAGACGTTTATCGGACGAAGGAAACGGTTACCATAAAAACATTGTCCTTTATGCATTGGCATTTTTCAATTCTGTAGAATTTCTATATGTATAGTAATAAATATTGGCGCGAGTTAAATCCTTGGCGCGCAGTTGTCTAGATTCTAACTGCTAAAACCTTTATACGTATACGTTTTAGTAAATAATATCTGAAAATTACGAAGAGGTGACGCTCGTATGCAGTGTTAGTTGATTCTGTGTTAGGCTGCTATCGTACTAGGTGAACATTTCTAAGTAGGAATAATACGAAAATACGTATGCAGAGAGCGTGCATATACATGAGAGTTGTTGACGGCTGAAGATTTTTGTTTCGAAGAAAATATTTTGGCTTAAATAGGAAAGCAATTCAGAGGACCATCAAATAGCATTTAACTGATGGTGTACTATATATGAACTGCTGACAATGATATTGTAAAACGCATCCTTTTGAATAGGATACTCACAGAAAGAGATGTAATCTGCAAACTCGAAGTGGTTTTATAAGTAATCATCCGACAAACCATTATTCCCTCGACTGACTAGAGTCCTTTGAGTTGGCCCCCGAATGCCTGCTTTCACAGTCTGAAGCCCAAAATAACGAAATCTCTTCGATATGGATCATAATATCAAGCGACAGCCTACGCATTTACTACATTGTACGTAAATACAGACAACAGAGATAGACTGAAATCGCTATAGAGCCTTTTTTGATCCACGTTTAAAAACTAGCTATTTATATATGTTGAGAGTCCTACACGTCTGCTTTTTGAACCGGTACACATCGTTATGGCGTTTGACTTTTTCGTTAATACGACCGGGAAAATCACTCCATGACAATTTGCCGGTTTCACTAGGATTAACTAGTTCTAAGCTTAGTTTTAGAGCTCTACAAACAAGGAATGGGTTAATCTTTTCGCCTTTGAGCTACAGCAGCTGTTGATTCTCCTGGTTCACGACCAGAAAAAACAGTCTTACCCAAAGCTACCCTACTGAACTAAATTTGTCTCATTATGCTGGCTTCAATTCAACTGCCTGCCTTACAGCGATACAAAGCTATCGAAGGCGTTTAGAAACGTTCTCATCTAAGTGCACGAGCAAAGTAGCATCAAAAACACACGGTCACATTAGTGATCGAGCAGAGAAAAATAACGACAATTTTCTATGCAGAAAACACTGACAGTAATAGTTAGAGTACTGATAATCATAGCGCTGAATAGAAGACATGTAACAAAGGTACGGCAAACAGACAGCTCTACGGAACAAGTTTAACAACTAATAGTAGTTGAGCTTATCGCAAAAAACAAAAACGTTCCCAGCTTCTATATATAATAGATATCGTTAAGACAGTCATGATTATATTGACAGTCATAGAATAATAACGACTTTCGCTCGGTGACAATCGGCAGAAGTAATGGGCTAGAGCAACTAACGTCCTGCGTATAACCGATGTCAGATCATTTGGATAGACCACAGCTAGCACAACAACCAATAAACCAAACAAAAACTGTAGCAAGGCACAACAAATAAATAACCGAGTAGAAAAATGGATAGTTTTTTGTCAATGTTTTTAACTTTGGTAACATATTTCCGTTACATTTGACTTGTCGACGTTAATTACATACTTGAAATGAGGGTAAACTCTAGCAAAGCCAAAAGGATATGCTAATCAATTGCCTGCATTGTTATCTCTGGTCGCAGCCGTATTAGAGAATGGGAATAAACAAATCGAATGGGTCTACTTGAGAAAAAATGAAAATAACTCTATCGCAAAACCATTTTTTTAGAATAAACAATAAGAGACGAACGTAGTATGCAATCCTTCTATCTGGTTCTATTTGGCTCTAACAATTATATGAATACCTAGATACCAATACGGATCATCAAATAAAATAGCTCCATATATGCGCCCAGTTCAAGCCAACAGTCAAATGTATCTAAAAACCATATTTTATCAGCGGTTCCTATAAGAAGTGAATAATACCAATTTTTTTAGCAAATTCATTTGTATTTCGAGGTTTTACGCTATAGCTAGCACTATTCTAATAGTACCTACTGAATCAATTTAAATTTCGTTGGTACAATGATGTAAGGAAAATTTAGAAGTCAATTTATATACAGCACCGAAGATTTCAATTATGCCAATTCTTAAGCTACGCTATGACGAATTATATGCTAGATCAAGCGTTATAAGGCTTATAACTGGATTTTTATTGGTAGATTATTAGATCTTCAATTTGAGCCTTATTCCTATTTGATAGCACAAGCCACTGTTCTTTGCTTGGTAAAGCTTTCACTGCGTCTTTATGTTTATGATATATTCAATTTCAGATATTTTCCTAGACAATGAATGCTGCGTGTCTTTCGATAAGTACATGTTTTTCAGTTATACATTGTCCATTGGTCTTCTATTCTATCTAATTTGATTACCTTCATTACCTCGTATTTGCGACGCAAATCGCTGGCGTCAACGCTTGAACGCGTCAATAGTTGAGGTTAAAAACAGCAACAGAATAACACGAGCTGGATTTTCTTTACTCGTTCCATACTGCCAATAACAAAAAATTGCCATCCCTGTTTCCTTTGAAGCATGAACACTTCAGTGACTCAGGGGACTTTTTTCGGCTTGTGTGAGCTTTGAGCGAACACAAAACTCACGCCCAACTGCCAGACCTTTTTTAGTGCAGCATCAGTGTTAAACTGCCTTGACGAGTGATAGTGATGCCACAACGATAGATCGGATGAGACATCTGCTTCTTCAGGGGGCTGCCGCACCTGCGTGTGGAATTCACAGTTTACTTTTAAGTTACAAAAACAATGACAACGCTAACAATAATAATCGCTTTCGCTTGGGAAGACAATATTTGCGGAACGAAGATACATAGAACGTATTAATATCTGATTGTCAGGACAATCTATTATTATACGGTTGGTACATTGCAATTCAAAATTACTTGGATGTTGTTGACACATCGGGTGCATTTTATCTGGCTATGGGTCGACGAATAGAACTCCTCTTCGTCTAATCGAAAGAGGTCCCGCAAATCTTTAGCCGAAAAATGCCGCTCCGCTTCAGCTTCCGAATCGACAACCACAGACGAAAGCAGAGTCTTGTGCGTTTGGCGTTGGAAGATTTTTTCTTCGATAGTTCCTAACGAAAGGACGATATATGAAAGTCAGATAGCAGTACAATTCCTATTAGCGCCTGCCACAGTTGTTTCAAGGTTCAAGCTCACAGGCGCATCTTTAACGATAGGCAAGTTGTCAGATGAACGGAAGCTACAACAAAGCAAGGATTCTAATCGCACAATATAATATGAGTCCGTCCTACTAAAATTAGAATTAGTAGGCTATCCGGCACACTAATATTTAACGTACGTAATTTCAGCTATACCAAATAACCCCGCTTCGACCCCTGCCGAATTCACGTGTTAGCTGAGCCATAGGTTTTAGCTAAACAACCATCGAAGGGTTTTTGGCAAACGCATCTGTTCCTACTCTTGAATTCAGTTTGCGAGAAAAACAACAAACAATCATGTCTCAGCTGTGCAATATCACCAAGCAGACAGTTTAGCTCTAGGTATTGTCATGAGCGCAAACCTGTTGAAATAAATCGATAGACAAAACAAGCCTTCTGTTGGCCATCTCTCCAAACGCGTGCCATGGCCTGCTGATCACTTGCGGGGTTCCAATCCGGGTCGAACATTACCAGCCGATTAGCACCAACTATGTTCAGCCCGCATCCACCAGCCTTGCTGCTAAGAAGGAACACCTAAATGATTGCGAAGAAAATTGATTTTGTAGCATTACTTCCGTCTTTAATATCTGTTTTTTCTCTTATGCCTTCATATATTGACAACTGAGAGCGTTGCAGCATCATAACGGAAATATCGAAATACCCCAGAACGCAATTAAGATTGAGTAAAACGAGTGTCGCGAAAATTGCTTGCCAATATGTATCTTTGTTTTGTGAGGTAACTATCAACTGACCATATCTGGAGATTGCGGGTCGTTGAACTGGCTTACAAGGAGATCGCGTTTCTTTGACGACATTGACCCATCCAACCTGACGTACCCGTAGCCTCGCAGACGACATAACTGTTCGAATAACTCCATTGTCTGCGTATAATTGGACACGATAACTACCTGAGATAGAGCAAGACATATTTAGAAACATTATTTTCAACCTCGACAGAAGCTCGTTTTATGGTATACGCGGACAAAATCACGGAGGACAAGTTCAACGTTTCGATTTTACAGGTAACATTTGACTTCAATAGCAATGGTCAAAGAGACATTGTTCTATTTAGTGATTCGACCCACAAGTTGTCCAGCGGTGTACTGTTAATGTCCTGCAATTTTACATGCACTATAATAAGTATGTAAACACTAAAACATGTCCTTTTCAAGCTCAACCTCACATAATTCGGCCATATCTTATAATCACAACCAGCAGACCTTGTCATCTGAAGTTGCCTTAATCGCAGCAAGCAGACCATCGAGTATAAGAAACTTGCCCGATTCGGCGGGATCGATCTTCGGGCCTTTCATACTTTCCCTCGCACCAGGTCCTCGCACTTTATCAGCCTTTTCTGTTTTCCTGCTCGTCGATACATGATTGTCCACAAGACTAGGATGATTGCATATCTTCTTTAGCCATGTTATAGCAGCTAATGCTGTACAGCTTTTGTCGTCATAGGTGCGGGTGAATCGCAAATAAGCCTCCTTCTGAATGTCTGTAAGGCGACAGCAAACAATTAGCTCGTGCTTGACTGGCAGATACTGTGCCAAAAGGGCGTTCGTGCGCCGTATCAAACAGCGATTCACAATGGCTACCAACTCAGTGAGTTTAGCAGTACCCCTTTCACGTTCCGCCTCCGTCGAGTACGCGTCCCTCGATCGCAGGATGGGATTTTCGAACTTCTTGCGAAATTCGGCTGCGGTGCCCAGGATTCCATTGTTAACAAAATGAACAAGTGAGAAGTACTCAAGTAAGTCATTCTGAATCGGAGTTCCGGATAGAAGCAGTCGACGAGATGTTTTCAACTCACTAAGCGCCCGATAAGTTTGGTTATCAGCATTTTTAAGCCGGTGACCCTCATCACACACGACTAATCCCACATCTTTCGAATTCTTCAGCGGTTCTATGTGGACTCGTAGAGTTTCGTAGCTTAATATAAGAATAGAAACGCAACGATTGTTTAGAAACGATCCGATTTCAGCATCGATCGCAGCACCGGAGCCGCCTTCCAATGCAATGTACCGTGCCCTTTCGCCAAGCCATTTCTTTAATTCGTTGCCCCAGTTTTTCACAAGGCTTGATGGTGTCACTATAAGAGCTTTCTTTACAGTTGACTGTCCATAGACTGGACCCTGCCGAACTAAGGTCCAGAGGACGGTAATCGTCTGTAAGGTCTTCCCAAGACCCATCTCGTCCGCCATTATACAGCCATAGCTCTCGGGAATGTGAACACCGGTAAGACAGTCATACATAAATTTTACACCTTCTCTTTGATGCGGTCGTAGAACTCTGGAAAGCGCCGGATCAACAACAACATGCACCATTTCTTTTGATTGGCCTGGCTCGGGTGACCACAAAACAAGAGAACCTTCTTCAAATGGGTCATGCATAGGACGAGGTCCTAAGGGTCGCCGACAACCTAAGGTTTTGGTAGTTGCGGACGGCGTGTAGTTTGCCAATGGAACACGAAATGGCTTGGCAAGAAGTTCACGGATAAATTGCTCATGGGCCGACTTCTCCATGGCTTTCCCCATCGTCCCTGAAGTGTTTACTGCCGTGGAGAAGTTCTCGGTGCGCAAAGACGTATTGTTCCCTATGGATGCTGGCGTTGATACGCGACGTCTCTTCGCATCTGGCGTTGTCGCCAACTGACGCTGACTCGGTGCCAGGGACCGCCGCATTATGCCAGATCCAAATAAAATGTCGCCTCACAGCCTGAAAATATTCACATCGCAAAACAACAGGTGAAGATACAGAAAATACTAGCATATGCAAGTTTTTATAAGATGCCAATATGGACGGAAAAATTCTGTTTCCATAGCAATACTAAATTCATAAAAAAAAACTGCCACATTAAATACATAGCTATGTCAAACTAACTAAAAAAAAAGTAAAGTGAAGGCTGCTAACATAAAAAATTAATACGCCGATGTACAAAACGTATCCCTAATGGGTATTATATATATATTTATATATGAAAAAAATTACCATATATAAAGTTGAGTATGCATGATAAACTACTTGTAAGCATTTTAATATAAATATACTGCTTCCATTCATTCAAATTTTGCTGATAATTTAGATACAGTTTTTATATCATACTATTTCGGCCTAAATTTTTATTCTCTGTCAATGGACATTATTTAGCTGTTGCTAAACATTACGAGTAACGTAACTTCAATGTAATGCTTAAAAGATGTATACTTGTCCCATTTAAAGAAATTAATCATTATAAGATTCCATTCCGTAATAGCTATATTTGTATACAGTGGTTCAGTTTACTAACCTATTCATGAGGTCCATTTCACGAGTTATTGTCGAAAACATTAAACATCGTTGAATACAGATCACAGTCTTCGTACATACTAAAACAAAGAAAAAAATTGTGTCATTATTGCGTACCCTAAAATGGATACACATCTTTAATACTTTTATTACCAGGTAGCTATAACCTAAGCATTTAATCACAAGCTCGCACTTGGGTAAACAGCTGATTCAGCCTATTGAAAAACAAACTATTTTCCACTAATAAAATTTTGCGATTAAAGCCAGCTGGTGATCTTCGCGCCAGTGATGCTTGGAATAATGATGTACACATGAGCCAGTGTACGGTTGTGATCTTGCTGGGAAAGCTTTAAGCGCTGCGGGCGATTGGCTCTACGATTGTTTTCCTTTAGACGCTTCTTGTGCTCATAATGGCCACCGTAGCCAACCGCTCGAATGAGGTGTACTTACATTAAATAATGCCCTTCTATTCGACATTTTTCTATCATGTACATACACTTCAAGAATTCAATCATATAATGCAGCGCAAAGATAAGAAATCACTAATATTATGAGTCATCTGTGATTCAAGAACAACCCACTGATATACGTTATCTGCATCCGCATATCACGTAAGCAGAACAAAAACAAGTCAAGTCCGAGAATAAACGTCAAGAATGATAAATCATCTATCTATTGTTCGACTAAGATCAAAAAGCTATATTCAATCGTAAAGAACATACTGGCGAGATAGAACAGTCACGTCTACACCGAGCTTTTTTTTTACTTAGAGCACCTTTAACAAGTCAACCAAAACTAGTGCTATTACTAATGGACCTGCTAACTTTACTACAAACGTATGTGCGTTAGAACTCTATTTCTGGATCCTATTCGGTTATAGATGCGTACGAAACACTGGATGAAATTTAAAACAGCACAAACAAGCCAGCAACATTTGATGCTGCTGGATCTCGCACGCTATTTTCGGTGCCATTTTTTTTACCAACATTTGCTGTTTTCAATGACTGAGATAGCTGTCAATTGATTAGCAATTTCCGGTGTTAACAAAATTTGTTTGCATGCATTGGGCGCACATACATCTCAAAACAATTTCGTAATTGCAAGGATGAACTTCGAATAAGGGTGTTATTTGTGTGTGTGTGAAGATAAAATTGCGTGTCTCTGGTGGAGATGCAAGGGAGAATGGCATAGTACTTTTAAAAGGTTCTTTTGTAGCAAAATGCACTTGTCGATTGATTAAATAATGCGTTTTGATTGGGCGTGTTCCAGCAAACTTTCTGGTCATAGGGACTAATTGTAGATTTTGAACGATCTAGGTTACAACCACTATTACTGTGTGAATAGATATTTTCTTGAAATAAAAATCTTTGGAAGAAAGTTTTGCATCAATGCCTACGTTCAAGCTAACTCAGAGTATCAGCTTTGCTTCTGTTTCGGCCAACACCGGGACGACAATACATGATTCCTAAAAGAAACTGCTTATGCTGTGTACTACATTTACTAAAAATGTCTGTATTTTTTTTCTTTTTAAAAACCTTAGAACGAAGCCGCCCCATTTTTACTCTATTAGAGAAACTGAGTGGTGATTTTAACCAGGGTCATTAGACCCCCAACAAATAGTTCGTTCAAAAAATTGTTAATACTGATTAACAACAAGATATGTCAAACTCAGGCTTTCGTAGATTTTATTATTATAAGAACAAGTACAAAAATCCGTGTGATTTGACTTTTTTGGTACGCTTTTCATGTTTTTGCATTGTTATCTTTATTGAGAAGACCTGTATATTTGAATGGGCGCGCCATAACCAATTACGCTAAAGGTATATATATTCGTACATGATTCTTTCGAGCTTTCGACATTTGCAGCATTGACTAAGTTTCAAAATTTATCAAGGACTATGCTCTGTTTTTCGTGCGCTTTGATTCGCCTCCCCGCAGTGACTTTTGGCCAAAAAGGCCTACTGTATTCTTCGCTAACAAAGTGATCTGTTTTTGCTTGCTACTATGCTGTTTCTGCATAAACTGCAGAAACGAACGATTAACACAACATTTCTTAAAGGCTGATGTCGGACGCAGTCGAGTAAAACGTATATTTATATACGGCATTTTTTGAAAACATTGACTCCTTGAAATGCGATGTGACATTTTGGCTGCACGTTGTCTGTCTCTCTCCCATGTGTATACATACGTTCCTGATAAAAAAAAAAACTTCGAAGCTGTAGAATGACTCAGCCTAAGACTGCTCATGTATATTTTGGAAAGCTAACTCTCGATTTCTTCGAAAGCTTGTTTATGCATCTTTTCATTTTTATCTAAGTTTATTAAAATAATACTAATGCAGTAAACCACTTCTAACTTCGCACTTCGTCTGTATCGACTACCACCTGGAAAGCATCGATTAGAAAGGAGCGCGTTTAGGCCCTCAGGGTCAATTTGTGGTCGAATATAAGCGCAATCACAAATACATTTATAATTTATTCACCGATAGCCAAATAAAAAAATGCATTAAACAAAGTAGAAAAGCAAAAGTATTTTATTACAGCGCATTGAACAAACGTTATATCTATCATGTGTAAATAGATCGGTAATTTTATCATGATCAATGAACCGTTAATAAAATCATTAACTTAAAATTCATTCGTTCGCACAAACACGCAAAATTTCACCTAAAGTCATTAAGCGGTATTAACGTCGCTATAAAAATATCTAAACGAAAAGTTCTTACTCGGTGGTATACTGACGAAAAATGACGCCAAATGTTTCAGACCAACTATCTCTTGGTCTTATCAGCGGCGTACGTTCTTCTTCCTTCAAACACGACACAAACTAAAACAACTACTTACATTATGAAACATTACATAACAAGTATAACATTTATCAAATGTAATGTTTTATGCCAGTAAGTGCGAAATGGTAAGCGCCTGTCAGACTGGCTACGTCACATCAATTAGCTAGTGCTCTGAACGGCCGCGTGATTAAAGCTACCGGGATTTGTAGAGAATAAAAGCTAATAATCTGCTATACATTCGCCATACGATTTTTTAAGGAACACTGACTGCTGTAAGGCGCTTGCCTCTAACTCAGTTAGATAACATATCCAGCCACAGCACATATCGTATGATAACTTGGAAATAACAAGTATTAGTTTGATGCCTATGTACAGACCTGTGCCTAAACAATGGCATGTAGCATGATACTTCGTAAATAGCAATAATGACATGGGTGTCTTGTCAGGACTCTTGGCATCTATTTCGACCAGTATATTTGGTAATATAGCTAGTAGCTCGCAGAAATACGGGGATGGTTCGATAATGTTGAAGCGTATCTCGACGTCAATCAATTCAGTATCGGTAATATTAACAGAGATTTACATACGGCCTCATACTAAAAGAAGGCTTCTGGGGATATATTGAAGTCGTTTAGAGGTAGATAATCATGACGTCGTTTTCTGCATGTAGACCACAACACCTTTCGTGGGAACATGTTGAACCTTCGCCCGTGCATTTAATCCTCAAATCGTCTACCCTCAACCCGGAAACATGCAATCTACTTAAGCCGGAATAAAAGTAATATCATTTTCGGTATATGTTTGATGTGCGTATTTATGTTAGAATGACATTTGACGAATATTTTTTATTGACACTCAAACGGAGTTTGAAACCTTTGCAGCTTAGCAACAATGCCAGGTAGTTTGTCCATCCAATCTTCCGATATCTGAAAACGGATCCAAAGCTTGAAAAAATTAACATTGTAGAAAAATAAAATTAAAGACGAACATGACTCCGCAATAACGAAACCTTCCAAAAGCGAATCAATAAGATGAAAACTATTACCCTCTACAGCTATTGAGCCCATAGAGAACATATCCCTAATATTATAAGACACCCAGCACAGGGTATAATTTTCGATTCGGCAGTTAATATCTTCGTGCTACTGCGTTCGAGATAATATCACGACGAAATGAAAATTTAAGGGTTTATAGGAAACAAACCTTGAGAGCGCAAGAGTGTGTACCATCCATTCGGCTGGATGCACACTTCACAGAGAAGCACAGCTCCGCGACTGATTTTCCTTGTTGCTCTTTCAGCAGTAACTTTGGATCGTAATCGTCAACACTGCTCTCTTCACCGAGGTGGAAATGCCGTCTCCTTTTTGCTTCAACGAGATCATTGTGATTCAGTGCTGGAGCCGGGCTATCCGCGGGTACAAGTACGCCCCATCGGATAAATAATTTGACTGCATTCTGTATAATGTCCTTTGAGCACCCTTCAGGATACTCAACAAGGCCTTTTTGGCACTGAAAAAAAAGTTTAATCATATAACGAGTTAATCAAGGTACTTTACTTTTGATGGGAACTGATTGTTGAAGAACACGGTTGATATCTTGTAGATCGCCTATATAATATTTGCAATAATGAATGTGCACTAATATATATATATATATATTTTTTTTTTTTTCTCAAGGGATCTAACAGGCCACGTATGCTTACGTTTGAAAGAGCATTTCGCAGGCACTCATTCACTAGGCAGCGATCACAGAGACGGAAGGAATTCGACCGCGACCCGTGCAGTAGCAGAGCCACAATGGCATAGCCTACATCACAAATGAACAAGCAAGCATACGCCGTTAGTCACGCGTGATAAAATGAACAATTTTAGGAATTAACATTGAACGGAGTTTGACTTTAGGATATGCTTTGCTTAACTTCGAAACGGCCTTGATGATAAAGAAATTCCATATCTATTCTCGATCAGAGTGTGCATCGTTGTTAGGACACACAATACCATACAACCAACCTTCGATTAGGTGGACGATGCCAGATCTGAGATCCGCTAAACGCTGAAGGGATTCAAGATCGCACCGTATACTAGGCAATCTGTTTTCATCCCCAGCAAGTAGCAGACCTTCTTTGACCAGAACCTTTTTAGCATTTTCCATCGTCTTCAAAGTTTCTCGGGGTTCCTGCAAGTACACAAACTCCATTTCAAGAATATCACACAGTTCTGCCACAACCCGTTCGACTGATGACCAAGTGACGAAGCATATCTGGCTGCCTGTAATAGAGAAGCATATTGGTAAATTATCACAGAGTTCATAATGGCGAGATTTCTTTTAATTGTACTTTATTTACACAAACTTATTTTTCGAGACGGTTTCACTTCATCCTTAGTATTATTTTAATGTAAACAAGTTGACGTTTCTTGTTAACGTAAGCTGTTTATTCTTGGAAAGGCAGAATACTTCTTTCCGTAAATCCAGAGTAAGTCAACGGTTGTTTGGTTTAATAATCATTCGTGTACATTTATCGTATAAAAGTGCAATTATAGAACGAAGCCAATGGCTGATTACATGGAACGCACTAAACGCAATGCCCAGACTAGTTCTTGCCCTCTTCACTGAATCACTCACCGTCGATTTCATCTTCCTCAACATACGCTTTCACAGTTATCTCGGAGGCACAACTTCCGCGCCGCACGCTGTACGTAGGACTAGCCTGATGCTGCTCGGCCTTGACAGCCAATAAGGCCGCGGCGAGTATTGCTTCACCGATCAACGCTTCGGCAACAGGATTTGCTATGTATTGTAAATCAAAGGCTGCGTTAATGGAATCCGTGTGTGCACCGACAAACGACTCGGTCGGTGATCCTTTGCAAAGGAAATCGGCTTCAGAATACGGTGATGTTTTCTTATTGCCCGCATTAGCATTGACGGTTGCTGGTGTACGGATTGTCACCAAATCGGGGAACAGCCATTCCGTGTACCTAAGAAAAAGAAATCATTATAATACTATCTTCTTTTTCTTGTCAGTATATTATTGTATACGTCTATTCAACAGGAACATAATTTATTGTGTCTAGCTAAAAAATTACAATGATAATAATAATAGTAACGCACCTGATAATATGGCTGAGATTAGTCGTGCTGAGATCAGTAAAGGTTAGAGAACGGAGTTTTGGCGAAGAGCGCAGTAGGGTACACAAATCGTGCAAAGCTGACACCAGCTCGAATTCTTGGCAGCCCTGAAAATCGAGTTTCAGTGATACTGTGATAACCCATCATGAGGGTTTTCTTCTTTGCTAATTCTAGCTATTAGCAGAAAATCGGACAAGAAAGTGCACACATTCGCAATATCACTGGGCTCATAGCAATTATGGGCATATTGCCACAAGATGAGAATTTTTTAATGTAATACCAGTTCTGTTTGTTAAACTTAGGGACACGTTGCAGTCTAGGTTCGAATCCGGGTGTAGACACACCTTGTTTTATGCTGGGAGCCAGCTGGACGTAAAAAAAGTGAAAAGCAAGCCGTAGATTGACTAAAATGAACTCGTAAATTTCGAGGGGTACATCTTTTGTACGGTCTAAATAGGGACAGTCTCTTTCACATCATGTGCTATATAAACTAACTCTTCACCCAAATGTGGTCATTATCAGTTCAAAACACCGCGTTAGACATAATTCAGGTAATGCTTAGTAATGCAATGGCCCATAGACAAAATGGTGGTACTTTTGGTACACTCAAGTGCAAACTATGTTGAAGCTTACCATTCGAAACCTTGTCATCATAAGAAAAGCAACTAGACTTGGTCCAGACAAGGCCCGCGCAGATGTTGACGCACAGAGCACTTGTGTAGCCAAACAGTGCGTTAGTTTATTTATCTTATGTTGACTTTCAGAGGCGGAATTGACAAGTGACGCACTGGATTGAGTTCGATGCGGTGTTTCGTCCACTGAGTTATTGTCCACATGACTCCCGCTAAAATCAAACTCCTGCAAATAACTTTAGTCAGTAAGCTTTACAATGAATGCTTTTAAATAGACGAAAAGTATAACTAGATTTAGCTACAACTGACTAAGGCTGTTCGCTATAAGTAACGTTTATATACGAACTGGAATACATACTTTATGCAGGTCAAAGCGTTCTACATTCTCTTCAAGGAACCCTTTGAGCGTGAAGGGCTTGCCTAGCTCCAAACGTACAGAGCCAAACTGTGAGCACATCACCCCCCAAATGGAGCGAATAGCTCCGCTAAATGTTTCTTTCGTTTTTGGAATACCGCGCTGTTCTTCGGCAAAACTTCCTGAAAACCATCAAAAAGTGTGCGTCACTTACTTCTGTTTACAGTATATAAAATTATTGAACGAGATCAAGTAACAGTGCCACGTGATGCACTACTGAGTGGTTTTTCTATATCTATCATATAACACCGATAGTAAAATAACGTACTGTTGAAGTGAACACTGACCATCAAACGGCTTATCGTACGTGACTCCACCGGGCACAATAATCACATCAGTGACCGCTCTCGATTGGTAAGCGTGCAAAAGTACAGAGAGAAGTCCACCCTTTGCTGGAAGCGTACGACCATTGCGAGAGCGTCCTCCCTCCATGTAAAATTCCATACTGTGGCCCATAGTCAACAGTTCGCACATGTACTGAATATGGAAAATAATTTCTATATGAATATCTCGACATAGGTAGACTGGCAGGACATCGAAAGCTATTACGTGCTAAGCTATTTAATCCAAGGCAATTTCTGCTAAGACCCAGTGAACAGCCTGTGTTTTGTTGTATAACGAATACTTCTATTCGTTATAGTTCGTTGTATTTGTTAAATATATATTTTTGGTCTCCTCTCTAGGAAGGGAAACATATTGAAAAAATCGGTCAAAGTGTATATTGTTTTAGCAAGTTTCAAGCACGTGATTTCGATTTCAATCATCCCTTTTTTTTTGGCTTTTTTTTTTTACTTCATTTACATCACATTTATATCACAATGTTTTTGGCATCTGTCCAACTATGAATTTTAATACGCTTTTACGAAAAACCACGTGTAGAGTTTTACGTTTTTACCCATGAACACAACGTCTAAAGCACTGGGGAAAATTATATAAACATTATTATATGGTACGTTGGCAACGACCATAATAACTGCTGCCTTTTACTTTTTCAAATTCATTTTGATTTTATTTTTAAAGTCGCAAAGCAGGCTTAAAGACTTATTTACCTCTTGTAGGACTCCTCTGTAGATGTAGTCTTTCTTCAAGGCGCCAGATTGACTTATGGTTCCGCTTTCTTCACCCTGGTCAATCTTGCGACGTATAAAGAAGGCTCCAAGGCCACGCAACAGAAAATTAAACACCGGTAAAGCAATATTGTCGCCTGCCGCCACCTAAAATGAAAACAAGATGAGATATTTAATAGAAATCCAGTCAGATGGAACGTAGTAGAAGTTCTCAATGGAAGTGACCTCCATTTGCCATATCATTAATACCTACTCATTTTTTTGAGTTCGTCAAAAAAACAGCACTACGCAAGTCTAACCTGTGGAAGGCGCATATCGTGTAGCCACAAAATATACGTGAGCAATATATAGTCCAAATGAGACCGGTGCAGCGGAAGGTAGACGACAGGAACGCCGGGGTTCGCTAGCGACAGGGTTCGCAACTCGTCTACTAGGTCTCGACGAACGTAAATCCCTAAACGAGCCACAACAGTCAATAAATTCCCACGCCAATTCACAGCACGGCATTTTATTTGTAATAATATATTGTAATTTGCAAAACGATAACATAGGCCTAAGGCTGTACAGGGCGAAGGTTCCGAAAACACCGTTTTTGCTTGAACATAAGCTTGCTCTTTTATAGATTATGCTCTGTTTGGAACGTAACAGCACTAATTAAGCCTAATTACCTAGCAGTATCTATTACTACTAGTACTATTATAAATTATGCTAAGTAAGAGTCGACTCGACTCCAAGTAGCTATCAAACACAAACTAACCATCAGAGTAATTATCAAAATCATCATATCGGTAATAGAACTACGCACAGATGGAAACAAAGCCAAATGCAAAACTCATATACCTGAGAGGCAAGACTGGAAGATCCGGTCGACAACAATGGACGCGATTCGAAGAATAATCACAGAGGTTCTAGCTGCGATCATATCGAGTATCTGGCACGCTCGACGGACGTGCAAGTGTCGAGCGTCCTTCGACACGACCTCTGTAAGGTTGCCAATCAAAGCATCTGGATCTCGTCGTTCGGCTGCTTCCTAAACGAGCGGAATAAAAGTAGCGAACTTTAGAAAACAGAAGAAAAGCTAAATAGGAATTGAGCCTTTCGGTCGCCGTTGGTCAGCTGGAAATTAATAGTCTGTCTGACAGTAGTTTGTTTAAGTGTATTCTGGTAGTGAACAAAATTACGCTGGATGTTTTAGAGTATCTGGCAAGAAAAAATAGGCTACCATATATAGGGATATTTCTACTAACCCGTTCACAGGTTTTGGTAATGGCCAACTGTACCGTGTTCGAATTGATAATCTTATTTGGTGTTACACGAGGGTACTTCCAAGGGAAAGCACGAGCGCTTAGCCACATGATGTGTTTGATCCATTCTCCGAGATAATGAAGAGGCACCAACGGCATAAGGTACCATGAAAGATGCTGTCCTGCGTGAGCGGCATCAGGACGCACAAGAAGGTCAACAAGATCTTCCGTCTCGGCGTTAGCAACTGCAGGCCGATAGCTGTCATATGATGAAATTTTCTATATGATTCGTTACGACGCAAATTTGTGAGAACAAAAGAACGCAGCGTTACTTTAAAGTAACAGCAGTCGGCTGTCAGCTCTTTTTAAAAATGGCATATGGATGCGTTTCAACTAATGTAAATGTGTAAAATCTACCAAATTAAAAGAAAGTTCCGCTTGTTTCGCAATTAGAATGCTGGCTGCATAGCATGTTGACTCGAATTCACAACAACTGCTCCTATTTATCCCAAGGTTTACCAATGTTTGATGCACGCTTCACTTTGACGCGCGAAAACATAGTTCGTATACTCAAGCTCAACGGGAAACGAATTATTCAATATAGACAATAGTAGGTAGGAAATGTCCTTGAACGTCAATGTGCTCGAATAAACAAAAAAAAAGAAACGTTAACTAAGTTATTTTTACTTCTCCACTTAATCTCACCTTCAAGCCACACTGGCGTTCCTCTGTTGCCGAAAGGGCTTCTGGACTCCTTGAAAGCGTTGTTAATTTACGCAATATTGGTATATTCAAGTTTTCTACATCATGTATCTGCGGTACCTGAAGTTAGATTGAATGTTTCTTATTTGGCTAATACATACGTTGATGTAGATGTAAAATTGGTGAGCAACAGATACAATTACACATTTACCAAATGAATTAACAAATTTACAATAATGGTACTATAGTCCGTGTTGAGAAGACCGAGCCATAGTTTTTTTTGCTCTTCTAAATCGGATTTATAGTTTCAGTCGACAGGGTTTAATGTATGGTTAGGTGTTGTCGCTCAAGTATACACACATTAAGGCGGTGCATCATATGTTACAATGATTTGTCTCGATTACAATGATCTAGAACAAATTATCTAGGTCAAAACTAATAATTACCAGTCCAATTTTGACATCAGATATACGAACGGTTTTGACAGCTTGTACGAAATCCGAAGTGGGCGTTCGATTGACTGGGCTATTTCCTGCAATGAAGAATTCCCCTGGAGGCGAAATCTGCAAACGCCGAACCAATGTTTGAGCTGTTCCACCCTGCATAGGTACTCCCCCTAAAATGAAGAAAAACACCGTGCAGAAATACGACGAACTATTACCGTCCAACTCTCTTAGTAGCCTTTTGTTTACATTTATCAAAACGAATCAAAAAAGGTCTAGTAACATTTACAAAGAAAAGCTTCAACGATTTTCTTCTATCTTTGCAAAAATAACCTATAGTGATTTCTCTGATTGCAGTTATAGTATATAGCTCAGCGCCATGTCGCATATCGCTGTCTGATCCTTACTTTAATTGTGTAAAGATGAACTGATGAAAACGAATATTTCGATAACGGACGAAAATTGCAAGCGTATGGGAAAACGCCATAGCACAACACATAACGGTCGATGTAAGAGTATTGTTTGTTCCTATCTAATCGGTACTCGCGTTATGCGTTCAACGGGTCTGGTTATCCCACAACAGCAAACATTCGCCAACACGGCTCTGACAAAGTTCTAACTAGCAAGAAAAAAAATCACAGAACATTTGGGCTAACGCAGCGGTCAGTTAAGGACATGGGCGTGTCATGGAAAAGCTTATAAATAGCACATCGTCGGCAGGGAAGTTTTCCTTCACTTGCAGCGTATCTTGTACGCCGTGGATCTATTTGTGGTTGTCGCAGAAAATGTGAACATCCTTTGAACTCACATGACGGCACAGTTTGACAAGCACAGTGACCCATGTACGAGTTCGTGTCGAGTGTTGAATTTGAGAAAGCATTTCTAGAGAAGCTCTAACGAGATTAGAAGCATAATTTGATTTGTTTTTAAGCGAGCAAGCAGGCTTAGGCGATTTTGTTATCGACAAACACTATTTCAGTATAGTGTTATTTAATATGTGTATGTTAATATGTCTGAAGAAAACTTCTTTACTTATTACTGACAGTGACAAACCAATAACTGTTTAGATGAGTGACTTGAATCTACTTTTGTGTGTGTCTGTGTATATCAATGCGTATATCTTGTACAGATCATGGACTGTTACATGCTACAACATGTTGCCGATCCATGTGTGATCGTTCAAGGTGACAGGGCAATCACGCCAGCTGAATTAGCTGAATTTTAAACAGGAACAACTGTACTTCCATTAACGTCCGGATACAAGAAATGATCGAGCACACCAATGGCCGCTCAGAAAGAATCACAATGGCAGTATTTGCGCGGATACCCTTCCATTCAACGCTTTGAAGACGTTTCAATGGATGGAGGACACGCAGTTTGGCTAAGAACTATTTCTAAAGTGTATCAGTATACATTTTATCGAGATCCGCTGAGAGATTTCGGAAGATATTGAAATCAGACAGAATACTTTGATCGGCGGGGCAAAAATCGGACAAAGCAGTGAAATGATAGATAAGTGTGATGATATTTCAGAATGGGCTGACCAAGAAACGGCAACACCATGCAGAAAAAGAATAGAAGAGGAAAATTGCCGCCGCCCGCTAGAAATACCTGCTAGTGTTTACAGGTGTATTTCCTGCTAATCCATGGCCCACTGGGACGGCATAGATGCTCCGTTTGAGTGTCGAATAAATATTTCTTTTCAATATTAAAGAAGATCACTACAGACCTTCGCCGGTAGGCTATAGTAAGATTGGCTGATGAAAAATAGATTAAGTCTAAGGTGTGGGTTCCTTAGTTCTATTATGGCTCGAGTTCTGAATAAATGCAAAAAGTATCATGCATAACCTGATAATATTGTGTTCAAGATAACAACACATCAGAATGCAGCACTATTGCAATATTTCAACGTAATCGAGAATTTTATTCGACCCGAGTCTACAAGCTACTTTAGGTCCAATTAAAAAGTGTTGCATGTGCTCTGTTGCACATAAGGTAAGGCTGATGCTAATAAGAATAGATCTCCAAATCCGTTACAGACCGGTCATGTTGGACGAATTTCGGGTTAGCGGACAGATTGCTTTGATACCTAAAACCTAGTGTTTTAAAGCCAAAAGGTGAACGCAGATTTCTATTGGTAATAATCATATTGTCTCAGATCGCTACTCAACGTTCTGTAAATAGGCCTATTCATAGATGTTAGCTGCTAATCGCTGGTAAAGTAAAAGGAAACCCGGTTCTTGAAAAAAAATTAATTACTACTTAGAGCTCCATACATTGATGAGTAATTTGTTTATTTACTTGATATTTTTGGTTAGCAGCGCGTTTATGTTGCCCAAGTTCGAAGTAAGTATTAGCCATGGAGTAGTGAAGTTGCAAGCACACGGATAGATTTTTTAACTTAGTTGATTCTTATTTTTATGGGCCAGAATAGCATACAGGTTCACGAATGCGCAGTAATATCCTGATGCACCTGACGTTCTGCTTAACGTATCTAATCCGACTAAGTGTATTTGCTTAATTATTTACTCTTTTCATTAAGCATGTTTCCTCCGCTAAATACGGTTTTCCGAGGTCTTTGGTATCTCCACTTCTTCGAAAGACAGGTACAGTTAGTTCGCCCTTCTTCTAATGCACCTACCGCTAACAGCGTGAAGAATAATACTGTTTTGAAGTCCTGTAAGGACCTGATGAGGAGAAGGGCGGATGATTTAGGGGGCTGACTGAAACCAAACTTTATTTAGTTTATTTCCAAATAGGTCTTAATAATCTGGGTTTCTTACTGAAGGTGCAAGCGTTGCAGTTTCAGTGAAATAACCATACCCGACATAAATCAACTGTAAGGCCTTGTAGTTCAATTAATTCCCTGTATTCACACTTGTTGACGTTTGTATCTGAGACATGAGGCTCTCGCGATAGTGATCTTCATATCATCGTCGAAGATTAGCGGTTCATACGTCAGCTCTCACTAAATTGACCTATGTTTTACACAAAGCCTGATGATTAGACTACACCCACCACTTCTTTGCTGAATGACACTCCTGAACAGGATGTTGAAAATACTCCTTGATCGCTTTCATGGCTAAATCAGTGTTCTTAGGTGAGCCCAAAATAACCGGTCCAACCTGTTACGCGCAGGCACTCATATGAGCAAAAAGGTTAGAACTTTTAGTGAAAAAAAAAAATGAACGAAATTTACCAAACCAATCAAAAGTATTACTTTTTGGAACGTGCGTTGCCGATGATATGATTTACCTTTATTTAATCAACTATTATAACTAATCGCTTACGCACGAAACGAAGCTTTCAATTAACGAGATTTCTCTCGGCGACGGACCACTCAAATCTTTGTTCAAAGAGCGCCACCTACAAATTCAACACGCGTTATACCTGAAATCAATTTTCTTCTATGCAGCTACCCTATGGGCATAACGTATTCGAGTCACAAAGGCAACAATTGTTGTTCTTGTTCGTCCACAAATACTGAAGACTACTACGAGAAAGCTGTGACTGTTCGCCGTTAGCAGAGCAACGCATCTTCGTTCGGCTCCATTATCTCTGTAATACTTTCTTGTTCATTACACGTGTGGAGATCTTCCCGAACGCGTCGACAGTAAAGGCTGCCCAGACCACGAATTTGATAAATGGCGCGGGCGAAAACTTGAATGATAATGATGAAAACTTGAACGAAAGCCGAATGCAAGAACGTTAACCATCGACCATATCCTTGTTAGACTTGTTTCACCGGGGCTGCCGTTCTCTCTGCGATAATGACTTCATGATAATGGGCTTCTGCAGTCGCCAAATTGTCGATGGTCGACAAGCTTCGCAATAGCTCGTTAGAAAAAATACTTCTTAACGCGTAGTGCCTTTCCGTTGCGTCTTTTTTTCTACCAGTTTCATTGAATATATAAATATGTAGCCACCGAGAATCACGAGCAAAACTCATAACTTTGTTGAACGTCTAATGGATAGCAAAACGGTAATGTCCGGGGACGGCCTGGAACGCTAGCTGCGAGGATCACCCTTCCGTGAGTGAATGCGCTTAATTAGGTTCTGTTTAATACTTCTCTTAGAGCGACATTTTTAGACGTTAATAAAAGATACATACAAATAATCAAGCCTGTGAATATATGCTGCTGGTATGGATTGGAAGTAACTTTATTTGTTCCTGCTTTACGGATGATTCATTGAAATTCCATTTAATAGACCGGCAGTAAATGAGCAGGTTATATCCAGCTAAGCAGGTATTGAAGGCGGATACTCGCAGCAGTTCGTAATAAATTTTCAAACAATTATGCTACACTAGATTGACGCAGCGCCGCCATACTGACGTTCACCTAACTAGGTATTATTAGACATGTAGTATTACCGATATATTTCACAAGCGAACCACTAAAGTGCCTCGCTCCGGGTGAAGGCAATGGTCGACGTAACCGTTCAATGTCGGCCAAGCGATACAACTCACCATACGTCTTCTATTCGCGACAGACGAGCTTGATTCTAGTTAGAAAGCTAAAAAAATGTCAGTTGTCGTTCATCGGTCAGCTTTGATTCAACGTTAGTCACTATGATTCGTATTTGTTTATTAGCAAAACGATCTGACTAACGAACTTTATTCCATCTAGGGACGCGCATAGGGAGAAATGTATTGGGCAAACACTGGCCATGGAACCCTGGCAGTAAACGATCATCTATCTATCTGACTCAGCCCGCTTGCAATTAGTGCTTAATTTGATCGCTCAACAAAGCCCTACGATAATTACTTTATATGTAACTAAACGGATATCATTGCACCATTCTAACCGTGACTGCTGCATAAAACCCAAAACTTTTGCAAGAAAATTTAGTGCCGGCTGAAATTTAGTGACCTCTAGGCCGAAAAGTGGTTTATCAATTATTCAGCTATAACGACAGGCAGGTCAAAGATTTTTCACAAATGACACGCTACATAACAACTTGCCTAACTAGAATATGCTGTGACAAGCCAGTGACGCGGATTTCTTTCAACGTGCTAGTCTCTTCATATATACCCGTGGCTATCGAATTTAGTATACTGTTTGAAGCGTAACTATTAAATATAATCAATATTGGTATATAGTACTTGTTCTAAGAATATGAAAATTGTGAGGTCTTGGCAGAATCTTACACTCAAATCGGGTTCATTTGAAGTGTCTATATTGCGGTTTTTATTGGTAGGCATTTCGCTTTGCCCGCTATACCCGATAGTCACTTGCGTAAATGACAATACCGTCGAGGCAATAGTTACAAGTTCAACATGATTTTCACGAAGTACCAAAATGATCAGGATGAATCGAAGTGACACCATCGCTAGATAATGGATCAAAACAACAGAAACGCCTGTGTTCTTATTGAAACTTTCGTACATTCTCATAAATCAGAAGCAGGCGAAATTAACTAACACTGAGATAATTGGCATAAGTAATGTTTAGTGCGCATGCTTTTATACATTATGTAAGCTAATGTGTAAGTAAGATGAAATTAAATTCAAGGAAAGCAGTTTTTACGCATTTAGTATTTAGCATGGCAAAAGCCATCCTACAAATGAAGATAACGATTATCAGATAGCCTCATTGTGAAGTAGCTTTAAGCATGTGCAAAACAGGCCAAAGTAAAGATCAAATAAATAAGTAATTTTTTGGATAGCCTTACGAAAGTGAGTTGTAGCAGGAATCTAATTTCCTGAGAACTAGTCGTTCAAAGCAAAGACGGCCTTCCACTGTGTTGGATTATTATATCTATTGAAACGAGAAGTTTCGTTTCCAAAGAAACATTGTATGGTATAGTAATATAATTATGAACACTGATGCACACACAGACCAGCATCTCAGTCATTCCCATTAAGTAGATAGAGTAAGAATCGTATGTCGTCATTTCCATTAACTAAACCTATGATAATGTCATACAACGTTTGGAGTATTTGCGAGAAACGAGTTCGAAGCAACAGCGATTGCGGCGGGCTATTTGGACATTTTCTTAGGCAGGCAAATGACACGCGTACATACATATGATGTAGACCATACGTTTGTGCCTTAGGGTGAATCGGCAATCGCTAATGGATATATTCTTCATAGAGGAAATTCGGCTTACTCGATTTCTATGAAAGCAGAACCTCAGACTTTCGTACTTTAGTTCATTTGGTTCCGTCAAATTCAAGACTTTTTTAGCTGAGTCAAATTATCGTCACCATCTATACGAAGAAACGAAAAAAACATTTAGCGGTTCGTCGACTCGATACGGATTTTCAAATCAAGCTGTTCTTTTTAAGAAATACATTTAAACACCAACTCATGAGTTGAGTAATTGCCGTTCTTACTAATAACAGACTGTTCTTAATGTATGACTAAAAAAAAGCATATTTTCGTTGCGCCAGCAGCTACGACAGCTTCCTGTTGCAAAAAGGCTCCGTATTAGATGTGTTACTTGCGCCCAGTAACGTAGGACGCAGCAGACGAATCATATGCGTGCTAATATTCCATGCCATATCGTTACTGAAGATGCGCAACGGAAGCCGTAAGAGGGCAGAACATACGTGTCGAGGCACAGTTGAAAACTATCACTGGCTGCCAGTTTAGCGGGGTTCTGCTACAACCCCAGCCATCTCATGTGCTTCAATGTCGGCCGCTTCGTAAGCGATTGTGAATACGCTACACGGAGTCGTTTTGCACTTTAGAAATGACTGGCAACTGTTTCTACAAACATTTAATCAATGTACTGCGGTACAATCGCCGCGATCATGCTGGTAACGCCGTATGCAGACAATCGACTACTCCATAATGCCATAATACTTCACGGACAAACTAGGGAAATCAGCTCCCACTATTTGAACAGGAACAATAGAAGCTTCAAATCTCTAGACGTTTGGTTAAAGCAAAACATATTTGATCCCGCTGCTGCCTTCTCAACAGAGAGTGTTCACAGTGAGATTGCTATGACACCAAATTCGCGTTTCTTACTTGTCTTAATCTAAGATTTGCGGTATAGTGCGCGAAAATTTTCTTGACGCTGATACACAGCCATCATAATATAACACTAGAAAAGAAACCTGCCAGGTTTTCGTGATGCGGACGGCGAAAACAGCGTGGATGTATCAACACATCGATTGCTTAACCAGACTCCTTCTCTACAGAGTTTTTTTTTGTTCGACTATCGACTGAGACTTATAGCATATTTACAGGAAAGCCTTTGAGAGAGGAAACGGGGCTCAGGAAACAGCTCTGACTGTAGCTCTGACTGAAATCCATTGATTCTACCTTTGGAAATTAGAGGTAGTTAGATACTCTGGAAGAGCTAATTTATTCTATGTGTTTACTCGATGTAAGGTTTCTGCTACATATATTTACCGTATATAGGTAGCTGGTTGCCTAGTTGACCCCCTCCCCCCATACACACATTCAGAGAGACAGCAACATCAATATACTCTGTTTTATAGAACTCACCATTGTTATCGTTCGAGTCGGAGGACCCCATTGCGATCTACTGAATCACGCACCACCAGCTGCAGCTACACCTACTACTTACACTACAACCAAGATCAAGCACTTTTCCCTGCTTCCATGACCTCTTTTACAATGGCTAGCATTTGATCCATTGCTATTCGGCAGCACACCGTTTCCGACAATTTTTGTTGTTACACGAGTCAGTCTCTTAACTTCTGACACACTATGGACGGATCGACCGACGGGCCGACACTTGTCCAATGCTTACGAATAACAAGCGCACACGTGAGGTGGCGTTGGCAGTAGCAGCAGCGGCCGCGGGGTTGTTCTTGCTTGAATTTGTCGTGCTTCACCTTACAGTCGCGCGGTTTTGTGCCGAAGATCTTCTTTCGTCTGGTCGTCGCAGCGGCCAACGACCGCCAGCTGCCTTCCCAGGGATCAGTCGCCTCTCTGTTACAGACGTACAACAAAAGGGCTTCCCGCATGAGCCTCGACAACTATTTGGTGACAGACTATTTAGTAGCAACTCAATGTAGTACAGCTACGCGAGGAGAGGCGGGCAGCGCAGATAGGCCACCGAAGAAAGACGGCCAGTAGACGGTGCGCACTATGCACGTCGACTATGGCCCAACTTAGCTAAGAAGGCAGCGCCACATTCCAAAGAGTATGGACTGCTGAAAGGGCTAATAGAAGGGACGGCGCGTAACGCACGGAGGGCAGGTCAACAAAGGGCCGGCGGCCGCACGAAAGGAAAATGCTATATCGAAAGGACAACGGTGTAGGATGGCATAGTAAGTGTTAGTAATATTATGGGTAAACAGAACATCATAAGCTGTACTCGCGCATTTGAAATCGTAACGTGGCGGGAAGACTGGACCTTTTAGTGATTGGCCTGAAAGGATACTGAGGCCGTTGTTATGCGTACAAGAGCCGTTGCAGGATAGCTACCATCCCATATTTGATTTTATTTTATAGAGTGCGCCTACGCCGTTTTTTAACGTGGGAAACAAAATGGCGCATTTTCTCATCGAAGCAGACTTTTACTCGTGGATATTGTATATTATAATAGAAAAACGGCGAAAGATTAAGACGGCGAGCTACAATAAATAGCTTATAATAAAAGATATACGTATTTAAGATATTTCGATTAGAGCTGTCACATAAAGCTTGGTAAAGGTGTTAATTATTAATGTAATTAAAATTTTATCTACGGCGTTTTTATTTAATTAGACACATATATCAATAATGGTATATATATAATATGTCAATTTATGTTAAAGTTCTATAAAATAATAAAACTATATATATA